AGAAGTTGTTTACTATTGATTTTAAATATTTAATTTATTCAAACCAACGAGTCGTCTCAATACTTAAATACATAACTAAAAATAAATATTTAAAGAGTGCTCACTTAGTGCAAATTTAACTTCCGTAAACTAAAGCTATTTGCATAAATATATACAAGTAAATAGAGTCTGGACTCGTATGCACTTGCAATCCCTCAATATTGATGGATTATATATGTACATGCACTTACTTTCCCACTTCATGGAGCACGAACTCCAGACAACTCAAAAAAAAAGAAATATATATAAAGAAGCATCGAAGCGCGTCTCTTAAGAATTTGTGGCACGTTTCCATTGATTGCGTTTGAGAGCTGCCACCAAACCGGATATAAACGACTCTATGCACTATAACTCACATGGTGGCCGTAAAGGCATTCAGATACCGCCACCCGCAACCTCCTTCCGCTCTCGTTAATCCATTAAATTTGAAATATGTTTTTGCGGGTGGCCAATGGGTGGAAGGATCCTGGAAATCCCGCTCACATTTAGATAAATGCCATGCGCTTGCCATGGTAATGCCAATGTGTCAAGTCCGGGTTCAAGTCTTTCGAGAGCTGCCAACACAAATCAAAATGCAAAGAACTTGCATTCACCTCTGCCATTTTGAAGCGCATATTTTTCTTCTCGTAAGAAAACTTTACCCCTGTTTTGCCAGAAGTTCTGTGGACGTAAAACTAGCTAAAACAGCTATATTTCATTTAAATAAATAACCAATCATTTTTCAAAAGAGTGTTTTAAGAGAAAAGTTTGAATATGGAAAGTGTGGGTCACAAATATCATTTGTGTTTTGTCAGTCGATTTACTTCTTGTAAAGTTATCCTTTTTAAAAAAATGTCGATAAAAATGGTATTGAACAAAATTAAATAATTCTTGGCCTTCAAATACAATATTTAACTACAACATTAGAAAATTATTATATTCAGAAGCAACACAGTTTTAAAAAAAATTGTAAACTTAATTTCAAAACAAAATGGCGTAAATAGCTGGTCAGTTCGCAAAGCTCCGCAATGCACGTGCCCCTAATGTTATGCAATTGTTTTTGCCACAACCACACACACACACTTTCGCATACCAACCAACACAATGATGCAAAAAGAGAAATTGCGATGCCGGCGCCATTTTGATGACTCTCCACAGTGGGACATTTCATTTGCCGTTTGTGGCAAAAATAAACTGAAATTGAATGGCATAGAAAATAGAAATAGAGGAGAGGCACTGGCATTCCCAAACAACTAATAAATGCGTGTCCTTGCCGCAAAACGAGCTACTGGTTTCAAAGCACTTTGAATTCCGCCACGCCACACAAATTCATAGCCAGTTGTTTATAGCGTGTTTTCACTTTAATTATTAAATGCGTCTGGAAAGGAATTTTTGAATTCAATTTGTCTTTTAAAATTGAATTTGTCGAATTGAATTTGTCTTTTAAAAATATCCTTTAAATTTAAAACAGACATGTTGGTATTGGAAAACAAATAAATCAATCAGCTTTTTAAAATAAACAAATAAAAATAGAATGACTTTTTAAAATGTGTTGTCTCTTCCCAATTGTCAACATCTCAACTTTAATTAATCCCTTTTGAAACTCTTTGCGTTTATAAATTTAAAAAAAAAGCAAACGGCTCATAACGAACGACTGAGAACATGCTTATCAACATTTTGTCCCATAAGTCAGACTGGATGAGGAGCAGTCAACGATACGTGACAAATGCCAACATCTTTAATTCTGACATTACGCAAAATAAAGTATTGTGATATTGCACTCTGACATTTGTGCCCCACAGTGTTTGAGCCCTGGCCTCCCATTGTGCGCGGGGTGGGTGGACGTGGGTGTGGGTGTTTGCGTCCATTCAAGGACATGGCCTGGCACCGCTCTCGAATGGCATCCGGGTGCTCGAGAGCCTGGTGTTCGGTCGGTGCAGCTCCTCGACGCCGCTCTCCATAACCCTGGCAATGGCAGAGTGTTCCATTTCCACTCTGGCGGCGACCCGCTCGTAACTTCCACCCCCGCCACCTTTTTCTCGGTTTTTCCTCTGTCAGCACTTGGCACCCACTTGTGTGGTATTTTGTTTTTCCACTCCACCACCCACCCATCGCTACACAAAACAAAACAAAATAATAAAATGCATTATTCACTCAAAAAATGTGTCATTAAAAAAGGTTTCTTTAAACAAAATATAAAATAAAATAATTATTTGTCACTTAATATGTACATTTTTTTACACCATTTTTATACTTATGCATATTTGGTAAATTAAAATAAAATGCAATAATTTTTGTTAAAACATATCAAAGATGTGAAGTTTATTTTAAAGCTTTAAGAAGATAGGACTTATTAAATTTAAACTATAAAGATTTTTTAAGCCCCATCCATTTCTAAAAATACCCAAAAATGTAATAGATTTGATAATTTTGCACAGTGAGCTTAGCCATGCCCACTTGATGTGCCTCCTGTCTGGCTGGGATACATATATTTTCAGTTGTTTCCTTTTTCGTTGCGGCTTTATTTGTTGGCCTGGCCTCGGTGTTCTGGAATTGTCATGTAAATGGGTTAAGTTCTGACATTAAATTGTTCTCGACCAGATTTTTCATTTGTGCTCTTGCTTTGACGTTTGGCCAAAATGATTTCCCATTTCCGTACAAGCGGTCATAGTCCATGATCCTGTTTTCTGCATCCTTCTCCATCGCTTGGTAATCCCGTTTATTCATTAAAACCAAAGCCGAGCAATGTCGGATATTTCTGCCAACGGGCATAAAGAGATTTGCAGTATTTGTTGATAATTGCATTTTGTGCTCTGGTCTGTTTTGGTCAGGCCTTTGTGCAAGACATTCAAATTTATTAAAATTGCAACAAGAACAAAATAATAAAATTTGACTAAAACCTCTTTGATGCACCACATTTAAATTCATAAAATAAATTCTGCCAGAAGAATGAAATTGGATTAATAATGTTTCTTGTGTTTATTATTATTAGATTTAAGCCGCTAAAATAATAAGTTTAAGGACAAAAAAAAAAGAAACATCTCCCCGACGGGGAATTGAACCCCGGTCTCCCGCGTGACAGGCGGGGATACTAACCACTATACTATCGAGGATGTTGACAAGCTGATGATCATATATTCATTTGTTCGCACACCTCTTAAATGATTATTTTTAAAATCTCAACGTGTAAATACAACTTATTTTAAGAACTTGACATTCCGAATATTACCTGCAGTTATGATAAGAACCTAAATATACTTATCTCAACCTAGCAATCTTTCTAGAATTGTTATTGCATTTGGAAGCAAAACCGTTATTAGCACTAAATTCATTCCAACTATAGTTAAAAGTATTTATCTATAGATAAAAACAACAGATGTCACGATTGGTAGACTATTCTTGATAACAATTAACATTGACAATTAAATTATCTTATCTATAAAATAATCTTCTTGGGATTTGTTTATAAAATAATCTTCTTGGGATTTGTTTATTTCCTCGATTGGGTTAATAAAGTGATTTATTTCTTTTAAAATTATTTGTATAAATTGTGACCCCAAATGTCATTTAACAAAAAAGGGCTATTCAAAGAGATACGAGAAAGATAATCGCTTAAACAGTAGTTAAACGTTTAACAGCAAAGATAGCGAAATTACTTCCGTAAGCGCGGGTGCACTTTAATTGCATCCAGATTGAAGCAACTACAAAACAGAACAGAAACAAAGCCAAATTAAACTAAAGCGAAGAACAAAACGGCGCCCAACTTTGTTGAAATCATGCAAAGCGCAGCACATTTCGAATTGGCCATTGAACTTTCATATCAAAACGGCGGCAACACCGGCGAAAATGGTTTTTAAAACGCTTAAACACGCGAGACCCAACAGCCGCGCCCCATCATAATTGGAAAAGTCTGTAAGAATCGCCAGTATATGTTTCACATATGTATATATAAATGCATGTGATGGGGTCCGGGGGAAAACAACTTCCGTTACCAGCTGATAGGCCCCTTTCCCTTGTTCCCATTTCCCCAGGCAGTTGTTAACAACTTTGCGCAAATTACAATGGAAGAGTGGAAAGTGTAGTCGAAGTGGTTAGGAGGTCGTTGCTTTAAGCACAAGTGATTAGCCAAACTGCATGTGAACTGTGCGAAAGTGCATCCTATTGAAATTCTTAATTTAACAAATACAGAGAGGTCTATAATCTGTTTATTTAAAGTTTAGTAAGTCATTTTAAAAACGAATTTAACTCCAAGCCTCTCAACTGACAAATTAAGTTAACATTTATATGGTATAATTGTCAGTAATATTCTGGCTTAATTTCTAAAAAATGATTAGATAAGTAATGACAAAATTGATATGCAATTAACATGCCATCAATGATATTAAAGTCTTAGAATCGGTTGATAACCGATTATTCCCAGAGCCATTGAGGATTTATTGGCATTTGACAATATAATGAGCAGAGGTTTAAAATAAAATTTGTCTGTGGTATCTAAATTATTGCCCGCACAGTAAGCTTCTTTGACGTCTTTATCAAACGTAATTATGGTACAATAATTTATAAATCCCATTAAATTTAAATATTAGAAAATTTCAGCAATCAAAACCAAAATTAACTTAACGTTCACTAAATATAGAGAAAATATAAATTGAAATTGTTCTGTATGGTTTATTTCACATCACTGACTTTGGCACATGCTTGTTTTATCTTTGTCCGATAATAAATGTATGTTTTCATAAATGAAATTCCATTAAGTCAGACAAAAACAACAATTATGATGAATGTATAGTATATATTTTTACACGACTAACACGATAAAGTGGTTTTTCGGTTTCCTGGTTAAATGATAGCCTTTGATAAAAGGGCATATCATTTTTCTATGGGTTCGTTATTGAAGTACAACTTATAATATTAATTTATAAATAAATATTAAAAAGTAATATACATAAAACACTAATTTATTTTTTTTAATTTTTTTTCAGGATTTCAACGCCCTAAATATTAATATGAAATGTAAGTGCGTGTTTAGTACCAAATACAAATTGAAACAATGCGCAACCCATTTACCATGCTGATATCGTAGTATGCATATTTATTTATATGAACATATGAATACATAGTAGAAGCAAGCGCGATAAAAACAGAATAATCATACATAAAAACCATACAATTTCAGAATTTGTCGAGTAGCTGGCTACACGCCCTATCATCATACCCGCCCCCCGCCTCCGTCCCGCCCCTTCCGCTCCACACAGCGTGGAAACAAATCAGAAAGCCAGTAAATGGAATGAAATAAAATAAATCAAAACCGAAAAAGCAGAGAAACAGCAGAGTTGACACAAAAAAAGGGCCAGAGTAAAAATATATAGCATTCGAAGGCGAACGAATGAAATCAAAAAACCAGCGTAGAGTAACGCGGCCAACACGAAAGAAATCGCCACTTGCACCGGCAACACCAACAGCAACACTGCAACAGCAACAGCAACATATATTGCAACTGCACCGGCAATTCGAGGCATATAAGGGATCCAGTGTCTAGGATGAAGAGCAACTACATTAATCTTAACACGCACAGTGGAATCAACGGTGCCAGTGGCAACAACAACGGGAAGATGTCGCTGGGAAAATCCATCAAAATGTACCTGACTATTTTCATCGCGACCACATGCATTTACATGGTGCTCTATCAGTACCACATATCCCGTGAGCCCTTCGCCGCCGGCGAAAGTGTAAAGGTGAGTGGAGAAGTGCACTGGGAGAAAATACCCTACTGGTTATTTTCATAGATCATTAATATAGTCTATAGTATTTTTAACATCTGAAACATTTTATTAGCCAACATACAACTATATTTATTTAGATCAATTGAATGATTAAATTGAATAAACATTACCAATACAAAAAGTATTGTCAAAAAAAAATATCATAAAGCGTAGAGGATTTCACTTTGGTAGTTGTAATAATAGTGAAAAAGTGGGCCCACTATAATAGAATTGTGTTTTTTCTCTTATGATTAGATTTGGTTTCCTTTTCCCCTGCGTGATCATGTAATTGAACACTGTTTTTTAATTGATTAATCTACTGCACACCACTTTTGTAAATAACATGTTGCACCAAATGAGTCATATTTTTTGTTCACTGTGCTGGTGCAAACGGAAATTTACTAGTTTTATATTCTTATCTGACCTCGGCAAGGTTGATAGCCGAAAATATCGTGTCGTCCTATAGAGATACAAAATTTTATCAAAATGGAAGTACAAATTTTCCACCTAGTAATACATCATTTATAAATGATTTCTCAATGTCAAAATCACATGAACTTTTTTTCTTGAACTATTTTATGGGCTAAACTTGAAAAACCTTATTATTTTAACAAAAATAAGCATTTGAAGGGGGTAAAAATAACATATGTTTGCGATATTTGGGAAATCTGTTGGAGAAGCAGGAAGTAATAAAAAAAGTACATAGATACATGTTTGTTTTTGGCTCTAGTAAAACTATAGATATTATCATAAACAGCTAGAAGTACGAAAATAAAGTGTGAGAAAAAGAGAGTTGATAAAAGTAATACGTGCTTAAAACATAATAAACAAAAGATGTGCTAAACATTTTGTTTTTTTGTTTTATTCCTCAGTTACCTTTAGCTATCAACCCTGCCATAATCACCTAACTATAACCTTAGATCTAACCTTAGAGTTTAACTATAGTATAAACGATTGTAATGTTTTCTTTGTGTTCTTGTTCTATTTCCTATGATTCCGTATATAATACAATAATCGTTGCCAAATAAACTGAACTGTAGCATCAAGAGAAATCATCGTCATATTTCGCTTCATATTTGTGGTCACCCATTTCCCTGCTAATGGCCAATAGTTCCTCAAACATCAATACCAAATCCACAACCACAAGCACAACAATAGCTCCAACAACAACAACAACATCAGCTGGCACAGTGGGCAGTGTGGGCCAAAAACTGGGTGGGGCATCCTCCGCCTCCATTCGCATGGTTTCATTAGCGGCCACAATACCCACATTTATATCCTCGTCATCGGAACTAAGATCGGGATCGGTGGGTGGCCATCGAAAGACTGCAACTACTAAAACAAGCACCACAAAAACAACCACAGCAACAACCACAACATCAGCCACAGCCGGTGGCTTAGCAATAACCAAATTGACAACAACTACAGCCAAAACAAGCGCCAAAACATCCGCGGCGGCCACGCCCACCGCCTCCCACTCGGATAACGCCAACAAGACTCGACCAACATTCGTTGCCGCCTCAGAGCCCGTAAATATATTGACATAATCGTAATTCCTAACCATGTACTTCCCCAACCACCACGCACCACCTAAAATACACCGAAAAGATTTCATTAATATGTTACTGAAATTATGAAAAAATAGAATATTTTATTTTTTTGCTATACAAAAATGTACCTAAACAAATATGGATCGATTTTGCTATCCATTTTATTTACTGAAATTTTGTTTACTATTCAAAATGCTTAAACCTATATTTCTTAGAATCAAAAATTAAATTCCTGTCCAAAATCAAAAAAATTGTTTGCTTTGTGAAAAAAATTTTTTTATTAAATTATTTTTTTATTGATTGGAAAATCCTATATTTTATGGATATTCATGGTTTAATATAAGATAAATATTTCAACCTAATTGAATCGGTAATTTGGTACTTGGTATCAATAATTACATATTTTCTCTCAGTGACCTCATGTTCACAACACCCACAACTAACCAAACTTATTTCACTCTTGTTGCTCCCGCATTTCACTCGTTCTGTTTTAATCTTCGGAAGTGCATTTCGAGCTTATCTGCATATTATTTTACTTGTCGAGTGCATGTCTGTACCAAGTGTTTGTGTGTTGTCAAATGTTGGTGTGGCTGGTTGCTTGTTATTATTCGATTACTGAATGTCGCACTTGTTGCCCTTACTAATACTGCAAACCTGCCGGTACTTTCTTATCGCTTTTTTTCACACTTTTTTTCAATTTTCTTAATTGCCATTCGCTTCTTGCAAATGCATGGCACCCTATTAATTACCATACTGAACATAATGAGGCAAGATGCCGTTGAATGTATTTTGTTTGGCTTGGCAAAATGTTTGGTAATTAACCTCCAAGTCATAAGAAACTCTCTCAAATGAAAAGCAAATATTGGACTATAGAGAGCGAAATTGTTTAATTTTACTTTAAAGTTACAATAGGAAAAGGTTTATTTAAAAAAATAATTATAAAATCACTTATTTGTTAACATTATGTTGTTAGGAAATTATAGTTACTTTAAAAAAATTTTAAGTAATATATTTATAAGAAATCTTTGAATATTCATAAACAAAGTTTAATGAAAATGTACATTTCCATCCAGATGGAAAATCAAATTTTGCATTCACTGCCTAAAGCCTGCAAAGCATAATACCTATTTCGCAATTACTTTACCTTAGCAGAAACCAAAGCAAACGAGGTGACAAATGTGTTCTACATTCACCCAACCAACTTTGCCACTCGTACGTTAATTATGGTCTCATTAAAATCCTAAATGGGAATGTATTACCCACCGACTCCGAAACGCAAACAACACAAAGGGACGCTGTTCCGCACAAATTGCGCTGTTTATCTAACCAACTTTTGTTGGCCGCCATGTGCAAATTGCTGGCCGGCTATCTGTATCACGATTTCTGGGTTAATCACATGCATTATGTTAACCAACAAGCTACGGTAATTGCGGGTGTGCCACTGCAACTGGTGGCAAACAAAAAGATTCTCGTTTACCATTTGGCATGAGCCTAATTTGAAAATTGCTCTAATTCGCAGACAAAACCAAAAAACCAAAACCGCATCCATTTGCAACTAAAAAAAAATATAGAAAAATGTATGAAAGGGGTGGTAAATGGGTGGTGGGCGGTTGCGCTGATCTAGATTCCAGATTTATGCAAAACACAAAATGCAAGCCAATTGAAAAGATTCACGCGCATTTGTTGGTCTCTGTCATTTAGTAGTTGCATCTACAAACAGCGATTCCAATGCCCTGCACTCAATGTCAATGGTCAAGCTTATCAGCAGTCCGATAAATTTGAGTTCAAACTGCGATAGTTAGTTTAAACTCCCAGTTACTATATATAAACTCTGCAACAGTATCAAAAAAATATAAAGGGACTTTAATTACCCGAAAAGGGTGTATTTTAATTCACATATTTTATAAAACAGTCACAAATTTATCAAGGTTTATTCTTAATTATGGAAAGACACATTTTTTAAATGCTACATATTGCAAACCTAATCATTTCATCTTGCAAAACCCTATCATTTAAGTTTAATTCCTTCAATAAATGGTTGAAAAGTTACTATGTATCATAAATTAAGAATTTCAGGCCTTAACAAGATGATCTTTGAAACAATATTAGATGATATTATTGAAAATTAGCAATGAAAAGGGGATCTGTTAATTAAAGTCAGCTGACAAAGTGAAAACTACTTTGCATGTCATACCACCCCTTGATTTTTTCTATCTCTAGTCATTTGAATATCCGAGTTACTTTTGCAAAATAAATTTGAATGCATGTTTTTTTTATTTTGCATCCCCTTGCGTGTGTAGGGTGTGGTTGTGGGTGCATGTGTGTCAACAATGGACAATTTGCAAAGTGAGTGCGCCAGTTTATTTATTTTCAACGTCAGTCGTTCAATGGGCCACTGGTTCACAGGCACAACATATCTAGAATGGGTGTTTAATACATGTGTGTTGGAAAAAGCACTTACAAAAAAGTGTATATCAAAAAATAATAAGTTTATTTTGATTTTTAATTAATTTTACTACCAAGTCAACATATAATAAAATCATGTTTTTACATATTTAGACGAAATCCCTTTTGTTAATTTTGTTTGATTTATCAATACATATATCAGAATTATCCATAAGCATACGCAAACACAATCATATTTTTATAAAAAACATTATTGAAGAAAGTCAATTTTAGAAACATTCTTTAAGCTTAGTAAAAATGTTATTTCATGGACTATTTTTCTTGCATTCTAATAACATTTTCTCTGAGTGCCTTTAACTAGCAAAATGCGACCCATATTGCTGAGCCAGAGCCTAGACACACTGACTTACGGCAATGGGCGGATGTGGATGCGGCTTGCTCGCCTAGTCAAGCCATTGGGCTGTAAATTAATTTGCATAATTGCTCATAAAAAGAAGCTCACGCCGCATTACGCACCACCCACTGGCACCTAACGAGGCACTCAGCCACCCAGTCACCCAACCACCCAGCCACCTTGCCACCTAGTCACCCATCTATCCAACCAACCACTAACCAGTCCAAGTGCAGTGCACACATACGCCCCGTAGTACACAGCGTTAGATAACCTAATGACACTCAACCGAAATCAACTCGACCCACAGCCGCCCCTGTACATAATCACGCCCACCTACCGACGACCCGAGCAGCTGGCGGAGCTCACCCGGCTGGGATATACCCTGAAACATGTGGTGAATCTATTGTGGCTGGTCATCGAGGACGCCAACAAAACGAATCCACTGGTGGCCCACACTCTGGATCGGATTGGAGTGCCGTACGAGTATATGGTGGGTAAGTATTATTGCCATAGGCAGTGTCATGTCCCGGGCACATTCAAGTGATATTTACGAGTCACTCCATTACACCATTCCCATTCGCATTCCGTAGCACCCATGCCCGAGAAGTACAAACAGACGAAGCGGGCCAAGCCGCGTGGCGTCTCCAATCGGAATAAGGGACTCGAGTATCTGCGCCTCCATGCCACCGAGGGAGTGCTCTACTTCGCCGACGACGACAACACCTACGACATTAGCATATTCGAGCAGGTAGGATAAAGGAGCAGCAGGTGGCCGAGTAATGGGGCCTCTGCCCAACCCAGTACATAAGTCACAATTTAGACGAATTAGGGGTCAACGGATGTCAATTCCGTATCAATAGAGAATTCATCAGAGCATTTGTGTTTTATATTAAACCATTTTAATTTAATTTAGTAGTTTTCTCTTTTAAAAATATCAGTGATATGGAAATTAACAAATTGCATGTATGAAAAAACAAACCCTTGAAAAGCAATACTTTTTCCTAAAATAATTTTAGATTTATATGTATATTTAATACAAATTTGTATAGGGATACTATTGTTATAAGATCTTAAGAAACTATTACTGTTGGTGAAAATAGAGTTTCATAATAATTTTCATTGCAAAACTCACTTAAAATATTATTATTTCCATTCTTCAGATGCGGTATGTCAGCAAAGTGGCCATGTGGCCAGTGGGCCTTGTGACAAAGACGGGAGTAAGCAGCCCCATAATTCAGGAAGGCAAGCTGGTGGGCTTTTACGATGGCTGGATCGGGGGTCGCAAATATCCCGTGGATATGGCTGGTTTTGCAGTGAGCGTAAAGTTCTTGAAGGAGCGACCAAAAGCACAGATGCCCTTTAAGCCGGGATACGAGGAGGACGGGTTTCTGCGCAGTCTGGCTCCACTTGCCAATACGGAAATCGAGCTTCTAGCCGATGAGTGTCGAGATGTGAGTGTTCCCATTAAAGTCCCATTAAACATTAAGACAATCTTACAATTTAGCATTGACCGTATTAAAAATAATATTATAAAAATGATTGATTACCTAAATTTTATATTAATAAAAATTATGGCTTACCTTCCAGGTTCTCACGTGGCACACGCAGACGAAGAAGAACGCCCCCGCTCAGGCGCTGAACAGGACGCGTTATAAGAACACGAATCTGGAGTACATAGACAAGCTGCTGGTGCGCCCGTAGGGATGTTGACTGTAGTTAGCTAGTTAGGCTTAGCTAGGAGCTCACTCTGAGCTTCCATTTTGACCGTGGCTCTGACGGGTTGTACAGGTACAACCCGGAGCACGGAGTAACCAATCAGAATTGATCAGATCAGTAGTCGGTGTACATTATTACCATAATCATACGAGAAGTTAGGCTCTAAGCGCACACACTTCTATGATAATTCCTTGCACCGTAGGCTTTCTTTGACCCCTTACACGTAATCGTAGTAATACCTTAAGTAACGTATTGTATCATATCGCAGCGTCCACGACTATTTTGTAAATAATGGCAATGCTTGATTTAAGCTTAGACATATGTGCTAATTTTGTTTACGCTCTAAGTTAAAACAGATTTCTCAGTCAGAAAGGCAAACTTCAGCAACGAATTGGTTAAGATGTTCCTATACCAAAGAAAAAGCCCCTAAAGTTCTGCATTCATCATAAATACATTCCCATGGGAAAACTCAATCGTTTGTGACAGCCAGGACCTCCAACTGCCGTCTGCAGGATTCGTGCGAGGTCAAGGCCTGAACCACATCAGCATTCAATTAGGGCAAGGTGTCAACAACAAACTTATTTCTCCGAATTCTCCTGAAACCGGGGCATGGGCCTCAATAATTCATGCCGACATATGGATGTTCGAGGCGAGTGGCACAGATAAGTCGTGCACGGATGAGTGCCTCCTTCCCCGGAGAATCCAAATCGCGTGCTACACTAAAATTGCACGAACACAAAACGGATACGAACAGGACGAAGGGGACACAATTTAAACACATTGTAATGGCTCCTGCTAATGGGACTGAATGGCTCAAAAGTTTGGCAAAATCAATTTCATTCTAAATGCTGCACGATTTTTTGTTGAATGAGAACTTTTTTTTTATGTCTAAGATATAAGTTCATATTGTTTAAAAACGGGTTTCCAACGCAAAAACTTTTTCCCTACTCATAAGTAAGCTAAGTTAAGTTTATAAAGAAATTTATATTCAAGTTATGAACTGCACTGAAATCGCCTACATGTAAATAATAATCACCAAATATTGTAACCAAATTTTTACACGTCCCGCAAAAGCAGGGAGATGCGCAGGAATGTGGAGGAAACTATGACAAATGGTATTACGAAATTTATACACTTTATACAATTGAATATGGAATATGGATAACGATAAGCCGCAAAGCAATTAGTTAGGTACTTACAAAATCTTACAAAAAATAAAATGAAAATGGAATCTTGACGAGCTCTCAAGAAAAATCAACTTAAACCTTTTCAAGAATATCTCAAAATGTTTCAATGAATATTAAAGATACAAAAATACGTCTAAAACTATTCTCTTATTCAAGTAAACTACAACTACAAAGTTTAAACCTGACATGACTTATAGCAAGGAACTTCAATCATTTTTTAACAAAATACAAAATACCTTTCAATAAATTGATAAAATTTTCTTAACAATTTTCAAAATAATACGTAATGTGTTTCAATCCTTGCCTCTAAATAAATTGAACTCTTTTGGATTGAAAGAGGTTGTACATGGGTATTTATTTATTTTAACAAAGTCTTGACAATAGCGAAATGTGCGGTTGGAGTAATCGAAGCATGTTGGTGATCTACATAAAATCTGATAATATTATATCGTCTAGTGGCTTCAGGCGGCAGCATCAATCAACTGGTTTAGAGTCCTGCAGTCGCACTTCTCGTAAAGAGAGGCTTTCATCCAGGCAGATTTTTGAAGGCTGTGCTGTGCAACTTTTCATAAATCTGCCTTAGCTCGTTCGCATTCAGATCAGATACTTGGAATATTTTACGTGTATTTACCATCGCTGTTTTGGTTCGATGTCTTCATTTTCGACCATATATATCTTTTTAAAATACCAATACGGATTTTCCATCGGATAGACAGCAACAGTAGAATTCTTCTACAATTTGTGCTAGCTAAATTATAGTTTAGTGCATCATCTAGTAAGCTTACATTATATGGCACTAATCTGGTAAGTATTTAAATCTATATCATATATTTAATTTGGGGTTTAAGGCAACCCTATTTCTAAGATTTGAAGATTTGTATTAGTAAACTCGGAAAAGATTTAATTGAGAACTCTAGAAGTTGTGTGATTTGAAAATATTTAGAATCAGCTTTTCCTGTCTGCTGATTGCAATTGGAACTTACTTGTTTGGTATGAGAATAAAAACAATCTATATCCATAATCGGATATAAATTTTAGTTTATATTCATTGGTGCATTGGTCATTCGCCAAGAAAGTCGATTTATATCATAGTTCAAGAGACAACATAACAAGCTTTCATGCCTAAATGAATTACTGTGAAAGCATTTAAAATTTGAAATGGGTAAATGAAAGTAATAAAATTAGTAAATTAAAATGTGAAATTTTCTAAACTAATCATGAATTTGTATACCTAAAAATTCAAAGAAGTGCAATTTGGTATAGATTTATATGACCTGATATTAATTAAATACAAATAATCAATCAGTTTTTTAGATTGCACAAAATAAACTAAACCTTTCATGATAATTTCCCTATGAATGAAACAAAACCCGAAACCTTTTCCGGATATAACTAATTCTTGATGATATCTCTTGCGCTTGAATGTGAATCGGTCTGACTTTAGCAAAGGAGCTCCTACATTTTATCTGACTAGTTCCCCTGGATCTCGATCCTGCACTCTACTGCGTGGTACTAAAAAGATAACTCAACATCGATGGCTGCACGTGAAAGCTTATAGTTGCCTCTTCCCACTTGGTATGAATCAGACGCTGCAACGGGGTGTTGAGCGTCGACTCCTCCTTGGCGACCACATCGTTACCACCGCTAGCGCCACTAGCAGCACCACCAACACCGCCGCTAGCGCCACCCACACCGCCGCCGGCAGCAGCACCTCCTCCTCCGGAAACGGCAGTCGGCGACGTTGCGCCCCCGCCCTCATCCTTTCCGGACATCGAGGTACTCTCCGGCGTGATTGGTTGCCGCTCCAACATGACCAATGCCTGCTCGTTGTACGTGCGATTGTCGATGGTCATCAGGATCTGGTGGCCCGAGCAGCTGTAGTAGTTCACATCGAACCGCGATTCCGCATGATAGTTGCGCAGCAGGTCCGGATTCTTGTTGAAGATCACGCCGTAGTGCCCCGTGCAGCTGGTTATCCAGATGGGGTAGTTAGGCGTCTTCAGGCGAGAGCCCGGCTGCCGAGATTGATTAACCGCAGCCTGTAAAATAGAGCAGATAGAAAATATTAAACAGAATTAATTACAGAATTCCAAGGCTTTTTATAGGCAAAAAATATTGAAATCGATAAAAAATATCATAAGTTATTAGGACTTGAGGTTAATGAGAACCTTTTTTGACTCTTAAAATTTTGGTAATAATTGAAATCTGGTTTTGAAATATCAAAAATGAAAATGAAAATTACTAAATATAATGTATTATGCATTTTTTCCAAGTATTTGTACGTACACTAGCTGACTCGATGTCCCAGAGCAGAAGTCCAATCATGCAGCGTTTCAAGACTCCGTATTGTGGAACCGCCTGAAATAATGGAATTGAAAACCCATCGCCATCGAAGGATGTTATTGAGGTAAAAGTCTCCTGATTTCCGGTACCCACATAGCTACTCTCGTCGCCCACATTTACAACACCATTGTGTATATAGGGCGTGGCACGGCCCGTCAGCAAAAGGGTGACAATCATCAGGGATCCCTCCTCGTGATTGCTCGACGTCAAGGGTGCGGATTTTGCCGAATCCAAGTCCGTGCGAACTCTGCAAAACATTTTAAAAGTATTCACCGCCGAAAGGTAAATTATAATGGATTATAAAGGGTCTCTGAAACGGGGGGAATGCATTCGCATATACAGACACTTGGGGCCAATCTTACTTTCCCATGGATCGCGTGAGGACGGCGCTATAAAGAAACAGCAGGGTGCCCGGGGTCTCCTCCTCTGTAAACTTTTAGGCAGGTTAAGTGCAAACTGTTTGATCAAATAGCTGTACAAGTAAATAGTCAACTTCGTGGGTCTTACGTATTTGAAATTTCGCTTCAAAAAGTATTCCAACTCCTCATTGGGTGAAAGGGTAAAAACATAGAGCTGCAAAGGTTTATTAAAAAAATATACTAATTGGGAGAGGAATTTTGTCAGGGAATGTATTAATTTCTCATACATAAATGAGTTTAAGTGCTAAACAAATTATGAAGCAAATATAGGTCTAATTAATTATTCAAACGTTTGCCCTGGATTGGCAGCAAATCGTTTACTAAATGTGAAATATCTTGGAGTGAAAAGATTTTATTTTACCAATAAAATATAATACTGGGCTGAAAACCTAACAGATGCACAAACGGATAAAAGGATTAATTGGTGGGAATCAGACTTATTTATTTCTTTATTTATAAAATAGTTCAGAAGTTTGGGAAGTTTTGAAACAAAACGGTTTAGTTCTCGATCAACCATTTTTTAAACAGTTTTTCCAAAAATTAGAAGGCCTAAACAGAATACAAGAAATCTTAATTTAATCATACATCTTAAAAGTTGAAAGCTCTGTTACTCAACTTAGATTAGCTTTGTTTCATTATCCAATAGATCTGTTTATTTAAAAACATAAAAATCATAAAAAATTCCTTTTTTTAAATTTGATATTTTAATGATATTTTTTCAAACTTACTGTTTCTATATAATCAATAACTATTTATTGTACAGTGATGGCGCCTACCTTCTCAGTGACGGAATCGTGAAAGTAGCAGGCACTGTGGTCCACGAAGACCTCGTCCTCGGAAGGGAGCACTATGGTGACCTTGCCCTTGTCCGAGATGGTGCGCAGGATCTCCAAGAGGGCGCAGAACAAGGCCTCGCGTTGCATCTCGGCGGTGGCCAGGAGCGGGCTGAAATGGAAACACACACAAGCACTCTCGATAACCCACTCAAACTGAAACTCAGCCAGACCGGAAACGGAAATGGAAACGCACTCGGTGAGCGAAGCGACGCGACTGGTCTTCCGGGCAAAGAGCAAATACTTCAAGACGAATCCCTGGACGACGGATAGCAGGCCGCGGGTGGCATTCCGGGGCGAACGGAGGCCGTAGGCCAGCTCCTCCTTGGGAGCCCCAAACACAAAGGACGTCTGCAGCCATTCGGCGCGCATGGGAATGGCGGCGGTGCCGAAAACCAGATTGCGTAGATCCTAATCGAATGAACACAATCGCAAGGATCAAATCACGTCCGGCTGCGGATAACTACTAATTACCGTGGCCAAATCGACGGTAATGGGCGTGCCGCCCTGCGTGATAAACTCTTTGTTCATTTTTTTCTGATTAGCTGCTGATTTCCGTTTCCGCTAGAGACCTTTGCTCCACTCTGCGACTCGTTGGCGAATGATTTCTCGCCAAGCACGGTTCCGGGCTCCAAGTCGAGCCTCAGCTGGGGATTTGAAAGTGGAGGCGGAGGTGGGGGCCACGGCGAAGGCAGACAGCCGCCATTCCAGTCAGCCAGCTCAGCTTCGAGGCATTTCACACTTCAGCATGGATTTTTAATTTCATATTTAGCCGTGGGCGCACGGGGCGTATGCGCAACTAAACAGAAGCCAGTCAGGTGTTAAGTACAATGGGCCGGAAAGCATTTCAATTTGTTATGATTTCAATTAAGTTACCTTCAGATATTAGATTTATAAAGTAAGAATATTTACCACTTTTTAACTAAATCACATAATTATTTAGACTTTAAGACCACACCATTACTGCTAAAAACCATTAGATAAAGACCCACAATTTCGAGAAAAACAAGTCCAAGATACAAATGTGTAAAATATTGTAACAATGAGTAGGAAAAACGATCAGATACAGCAATGCATTTATGATTTTAAGCTGTTAAATTTACAATTAAATTACCTGCATCTGTTAATGTAAAAAATTATAATTAAAAATTATTATATACTAGCATTTACAATCGTTAAAGTGTACATTAATTATATCTCATATTTATTTAGACTTAAGGATCAAAGATTTTTAAGCTTTGGGGAATAAAAGCAAGACTAGTCCAAATCAGATCAGGTTTATAGCTGTAATGAAGTAATTTAAGTAAGAGATACCCAAAGTTTCCACTTCATCCCACTGTTTTGGGACTTTGGTTTAGGCTGAGAGGGTCGTTCGCTGTCTGTCAGTCAGCGAAAGTAACTTTAAATGAAATTGAATTGAATTTAGTTCTGTGTGCGGCACACGAAACTCGATGTATGTGGCACAAGAAGTGAAAGTGTTACGGCGGGGGAGGGGTGGGACATGGGTTCTCGGGACATGGGACATGGGCTTGGCCATAGGTGGAGGCGATATTCTGCTGGAATCTGGCATGTTGCAGCCTGTCAGGGCGCTCCACACAACCGGAAATATGTAGTTGACGCCCATTTGTGCCTATTTTGAGGCAGGAACACCTGTACCGATGCCGTCGTGTGTGCACTTATTACTGGGTGTTAATATTCCAATGATACACCCGGAAGGACATTCCAGGTGCCACCGCAGTATTGCTCAGCCATTTTAAATTTAGACAGCACTCGTGTTTCAGGCTACCCGATTGATTTGTTGAATTTTTGGGAGGGCCTAAATGGAAGTGAAAGTGGCCCAATAACTGGCTGATTGGCTGTCTGGCTGGTTATAACCTTGGGCAAGTCACCGGCAATTTTATTAAAGCCCCAGACTTAGCATGCACACCTCAACTTAACAGCCGTGAATGCGGCATTCTTTGATTCAGGGAAATAGAAAAAGTCATAGGGTGTCAGAAGTGATCTGACTTAGCCAAAGTGTTGAAGGATTAGCAACTTAAAGGCACCTGCCAGTTAAATTATCTTTTGTCAGGCAATCCAATTTACTAAACAATTTATTCAAAAGTCCTACACCTTAATAGCAAGATAAGGTAAAGCGTCATAAAGGCATAAAATAAATACATTGCTTATCACTTTACAATAATTATTTGTTCGTCACACCATATAAAACCCTTAGCCCAGACTCATTCTCAGTGATTTTCTTTATTTAATATATTCTGGGAATGAGTCAGTGCAAAATTAATAAATATATAAAAGTACATTTTAAAACTTATGATTTAGGGGGAAAGCTACTAGTAAACACTCATCTCAACATCTCCGGTTCCGGAGGTTGCATCATCTCGCTCATTACGGTTCTGGCCGAGGCAGGAGCACGTCCCAGCAAATAGAGGACATTGAAGTACCAGTCGAGGAGGCGCAGCTTGAAGGCTGACAAAAACAAACAGTATTCGAAGTAGACGCGCCGACTCAGCCAGTGGACAAACCGCAGAGGAGACCGCCCTTCTTTCTGCATATAAAGGCACTTCTGGGCATATCGCGCCATGACTCGAGGCCTATTGACCACGTCCCCGTGCTGATGACTAATCGCTCGAACCGTGTTCAGGTTACGGACCTGTTTGGTAAGTAAAAATGTATAGTTTCGTAAAGTTAAAAATACTTTAATATCTGTAATCTATGACAAAATAAGCGTATGGAGAAGCATTGAAAACTATTTTTAGTTAATAAATTTTTTACGGGAAAATACTGTGCCGGAAAACGTTATTATCATTAAAATACAATAATTAAAATAATTTCAACCTTTGCTTTTATGTATAGATAAGTAAATTTGATCACCATATAGAAGATCTAATATCTAGAGAATTATAGAACTTACCACAAACAACATGCTCCTAGGCATTTCCTTAAGGGTGCCCATGATGTGCTCAAAGTTTTTCCTGGCTATCTCCTGCATGTGGTCGATGTCCTCCTGCGACAATTTGCCCCTGATGCGGCCTCCTCGAATGCGAATGGGCTGTTGGAACAGCACTTCGGCGAACCGCATGTAGTCGGCGATGCCGATCTTTTCGGCGGCGGCTTGCATCTTGGTTTCATTCCGCAGCACAGTGGCCTCCCAGAATTCGCAGAGTGGTCCTCGAACATTCTGAGGCAGTTCTTCATAAAGCCCATGGTCCAGCAGAATAATGTCTGCTCTCCCATTTTTACTATTTGGTCGCACAAAGACTGCAGACAATAAAGGAAACTTATAATAGAAATTATAACAGTGTGATTTTAATAAGTTTACATACTGTTTCCTGGATGGGGATCGGCGTGCACGAAGCCAGTGTAGAAAATTTGTTCAGCAAAGGCATCAAAGAGCTTTACGTCGATGTCCTTCAGGCTGAGCTTTTGTCTTGCTATCGTCTCAAGATCGTTAATCTTGCAGCCGTCCATCCATTCAAGAGTAAGAACACGCTGAAACATATAAATGTAAAAATAAGGCAATATCTACAACATTGCAACATATACAAAATATTTTAAAATTATTAAAAGGGAATTTAGTTAACTATTATTTCTCAAGGACTTGAATTAAAAACCGAAACAAGAATAGATTTTATTGATATAGTTGTAAAATTTTATGTTCGTTTTTTCATAGGTTGTTTTAGGAATACTCACAGTTTTTGTATGCGACCAGTGGATTTTGGGGACATGGACATAGCTAAACTTCTCCATGTCCTTGGCGCAGCGTTCGGCGTTCTGGCCCTCCTGCAAGAAGTTTAATTCCAGCACCAGGTTCTTCCGCAGGTCGTTTAAGATCCACCCAAAGTTGTAGTCCTTGAAGAAGAACTCGACAATGTCCTGCAGGAAGATGATGGTGCCAAGGTCGCTAATAAAGCGCTTCTGTAGATCGTTGTACTGCACCTTGACGGCCACCTGCTCGCCGCTGTGCAATTTGGCTTTAAAAACCTGCGCCAAACTGGCAGCCGCCACGGGCTTATAGTCGAATTCCTGGTATATCTCCTCGGGTAGCTGGCCAAAGTCTTTGCGAAAGACCTTCTGGACATCCGCCTGACTGGTAGGCAGGCAGCGATCTTGCAGCCTGGACAGCGTGCTGGTGTATTCCACGGGCAGGATGTGATTGATGGCGGCGAACCCCTGACCCACCTTGATGTACAGACCGCCGTTAAGTAGGCACGTCTCCAGCAGTCGCTCGGCACTCTTCTTGTGCAGGACCTTCACCTTCGTCTCGTACTCTGCATCGTTCTCGTCCAGCCGCAGATAGTCGGCGGCAATCAATCCGGCGGTTTTGAGGGACCGTACAAATCGAACGGAGGCACCACAGTAGGTGAAGTCGTTTACTATTCCATCGTAACCAAGAGCTACGGCTCCGGCTGCCAGGAGACCCAGTCTCAGCACAGGAAAACCCTTTTTCGGGGCAGAAACTTTCCGCTGGCCGTGGAGTAGTCTTCTTTCCCGAATCCGGCCTCCCACGCTCAGCAGCTGCCGCACACGCTGTAGGAGAATAAGTCAGTATCATGATTACAAGGATTTTACGGACCGTAGAGATAGATAACTCACCTGGAGAGGTCGCATTTTCCGTACGCCCGCTGTAAAGTTCACACAATTAACCCTCGGCCGCCACCTGTCGTAATATCAGCTGGGGAGTCCGAACAGCTGTTTTTGGAGCCGCCGCGATGATAACAATAACGCGATGATGGGGCAACATCGTCCCACGGTTACTTGGCGGTTTGGGAAATTCAAATCGGTTGCTAAGAAACTTTTATCAAGAAAGATGAAGCGAAATTCAGTGCACACTTGAAATATCAAGCTAAGATGGATATAAAGAGACCACCCACGATTATAATGATGATATTGTCCCTCCCACTTTACGATAAAAAAATTTAACCTTATTCTAAGTATAGACAAATAAATAAACTTAGGAAAAACTAAACTTTGATCTTAAGATCTTATTTTGACACAAGCTGTGTGCTTCAGCTTAAGATCTTTATTATTCGTATGCCAATTTGAGTCGTACTTATAGCTGTTCTTACATAATACAAACGACTACTTTCTCAAGTTTTCTTGGAAGAAAGTTGGCAATAGGTACGAAGTATCAATTCTATAAGTTAATAGCTAAATGCAAAGCAAGGCTTTTAAGCAATGAACTACAAATCCTTGACTTTTGCTTAGGCACTCTGGTAGTTTTCGTTATTTCTGATGTTTTAAGCCTCCATTCCAGTACAATGAAGTTGATGAGGAGCGGAAAAGACTCGAATCACCCTAGAGGAAGTAATCCGCGTTCGGCTTCTTCAGGGGAACAAGGCGATTTTCTGTTGAAGCCGCCTCAAAGATAACAAAGTCGCGATTGGAGCAGTCATTGCCCAGCTCCAGGATGGCAGCCACATTGCCGCAGCTGCGAGAGGAACACCGGAAATCGTTAGCAAAGAATTAGGGGCAACTCGGAACTGAGCCACTTACCGGTAGCAGTAGTTAGGAGCCGACCACACAGTCACGACGGATTGATTGAAGTGCCACCTGTAGCCCTCCATCACCAGCTGGTGGGCACGGCAAATTATGTCCAAATCGTTGGCGCTGTTGAACTGGGCGACCACATCGCGTCCGAAGAGGTAGCCCGCACCCCGTGGCGACACTCCCCAGCCGACCTGCTCCTCCGGATCGCTCCAGAGCAGGTCGCACATAGGTCCCTCGTGCGGCACCTCCTGTTTGCGATCGAGGCAACGGATCTGATCCAGGGAGTGGATGGCCGGCGACAGGCCGCCGTGGACGCAGAAAACCTTGCCATCGATAATGGCCGCCAGGCTGAGGTAGTCGAAGATGTCCGTGCAGTAGAACCAGACGGCTGGAGATCCATACTTAAGCATGATCTCGTCGTAGAATCCGTACACCTGGGTGATCTGACGGGACTCGTGATTGCCGCGGATCAGGGCAATGCGGTCCGGATAGCGCACCTTCAGGGCCAAAAGTAGCAGAAATGTCTCCACGCTGTAGTGTCCCCTGTCCACGAAGTCGCCCATGAAGATGAAGTTCTTATCGGGCACAGGACCGGCCACCCTGACCAGCTCCTTCAGGTCGTAGAACTGGCCATGGATGTCGCCGCAAACGGTTACCGGCGAGTCCAAGCGCTGCACATTGCTCTCCTCCATCAGGATCTCCCGGGCCTTGGCGCACAGGGCCTTGACCTCGGCCTCCGTGATGTATTCGCAGCGCTGCAGTTGCTCGATCTGGCGGTCCAGGTCGCTTTGGTCAGTCATCTTGGTTTCTGGAAATGTATTCTACGATGTGGGATTCTGAAGTCCAGATGAGATCTAAATGTGGTGTATAGCAAATGTTAATGAATTCTGGAGTCCTTACTGGTGGCTTTCAAAGGATTGTATTTCTGGCAAAGCAAAGCGAAAAAACTGAAGAGGACTCTCTTCTGTCAAATTTGGTTCGCTTTAATGGCCGCCTACTGCGTTTATGCGATGGCAACCCATGAATTCAAGTTTAAAATCACGATTTCGGGTATTCAAACATATAGAGCTGTCAAAACATCGAATCCACTATCGATAGTGTAAACATGGCGATTATAACGAGCTTTTTTAAAATGTTTGTTCAAAAATGTTCTGTTTCTGCAAAATTTACATCAGCGAAAACCAAAAATTTGAATTTAACGGAAAACGTTATTTTATAAAATTAAAAAAAATAAATTCTTTAAGCATACAATAATGAAACAAAATAAAACACGAATTTCAAGTGAGCGCCAAAATCAAAATATGGCAATGCAATAACTTCCCAAACTGTATATCAACGATTTTTCTGAACATATAATAAATTTCTTTCACGACTGAAGAAAAAAAAAATTTATACAAATATAAAAATATAAACAAAGCCAAATAAAACTTAAAATTTTAAATATATTTAAAACTATTTTCAACAAAAATTAAAAACTAAAATAAGCCAAGTACGGTATATTTAAAATATCAAATAGCTTGTGGTATATTTTTGGCCAGCATCTGGTATATTTAAAAAGTCAGTATAAGGTCATGCTATTTTTTTGTTTCTTGGTTCTGGATTTTTTCTGTTTGCGGCGACGGCGGCTCGTTTGAAGTGTAATTTTCAAGTGCAGTAAATTGTTTACATTACGCACACCTATCTGTGCACTCAAAGCGAACGCAGGGCGGTGAACCAGTGAGCTCCACACCCTCGAATAGACAAGATGTCGGGCACCATACTGGAGAACCTGAGCGGCCGGAAGCTGTCCATATTGGTGGCCAGTTTGCTGCTGTGCCAAGTGCTGTGCTTCCTCCTGGGTGGTCTATATGCACCGATGCCCGCCGGCCATGTCATTGTGCTGGGATCGCTGTGCCGCGAGGATCACGCACGCCAGAATGACACCGGATTCCTGTTGTACTCCCGCGGGGCAGGAGCCTGCATCCCGGTAACGCGGGACGACGTGGAGCGGGATTCCATGAAGATGGCCAATGAGCTGGTACATGTCTTCCAGATGCCACTTCCACGTGATTTACGCGACCTGGACTACTCCCGCTGGCAGCAGAATCTCATCGGAGTGCTGCAGGTGGAGTTTGGCTATGATTCCTCCTCGGAGCTGAGGGAGCCGCCCAGGGAACTGCAGCTGACCATCGACATGCGCTTGGCCTACCGCAATAAGGGAGATCCGGACAACGGGTGGAAGTTGTACGCCCATGGTGTGGAGCATCGCTACCTGGACTGCGTGAGCGCTGGTCAAGTGAGTACCACGGAGACGCTCTACTCCTGCGACATGATACCCCTATTCGAACTGGGCGCTTTGCACCACAGCTTTTATCTGCTTAACCTGCGCTTCCCGCTGGACACGCCACGCCAAACGAACCTGCAGTTCGGCCATATGCATGATCTCACACTGACCGCCATTCACCAAAACGGAGGTTTCACCCGGATCTGGTTGCTGCTGAAGACTGTGCTGTTTCCCTTTGTGGTGGGCATTATGATCTGGTTTTGGAGGCGCGTGCACCTGCTGCAGCGATCGCCTGCCCTGCTGGAGTACATGCTCATTTATTTGGGAGCCGCTCTGACCTTCATGAACCTGCCCCTGGAGTACTTGTCGCTGGTCTTCGAGATGCCGTACATGCTCCTGCTAAGTGACATTCGCCAGGGCATCTTTTACGCCATGCTGCTCTCCTTCTGGCTGGTCTTCGCCGGCGAGCACATGCTCATCCAGGATGCGCCCAACAAGTCGACCATCCGGTCGCGCTACTGGAAACATCTCTCGGCCGTCGTGGTGGGCTGCATCTCTCTGTTCGTCTTTGACATCTGCGAAAGGGGCGTGCAGCTGCGCAATCCATTCTACTCCATCTGGGCAACACCGCTGGGCGCTAAGGTGGCCATGACCTTCATTGTGCTGGCCGGAGTATCGGCGGCCATTTACTTCCTGTTCCTGTGCTACATGATCTGGAAGGTGTTCAGGAACATTGGCGACAAGCGCACATCTCTGCCATCTATGTCCCAGGCGCGTAGACTTCACTACGAAGGTAAGAGCTACTTTGCCAAACTAATTGGTTTTATCTTTCCGAATTTATCAAACTGGTTTCTAAATTTGTTTAACACTTAAAGCTAGTTTGTGTCGCTTTTATATAAATTAAATACTCTTTTAATTCCAAGCCTGTCACTTAAATCTCAAGAGATCAAGATTTTTCATGGCATTTCAGCGTCCAATTGTCGTACTTTTAGTTTTGATAACCCGGTTTATTTTTAAATGTTAATTAGTTTACTTAGATCAATCGAAGGCATTCTTAGTCCCAGTGTCACTTCCTTGGTGCGAAGCTTTTACCCAACTTTGCGGATATGCTTTAGAGAGATTTATCTCGATATTTGTTAATAATATCGAAAGTAAAGGTATGTTTTATATATTTGTTACTAAAGCAATTCGTTCAGTGTTGTCTTTTTGTACTTACCATCTTAATATACCATAGGTCGTAACAACTGTCGACATTTTTTTATATTCCTGTATTCTAACTGACAAATCAAGTAATTCGAAAACACTTTTAATTATCTGAACAAATTACAAATCAATTGGGTTAAATCCAAATAAATAACATTAATTTACGTCAAACAAAATTGCCAATTCATCCTTATATCATTTGTTCTTTTTATGTTTTTATACCCTTGCAGAAGGAATTGTAATTTAAGTCAAAAGTTGGCAATGCAGTGGAGGAAACATTTCCGACCCTATAAAGCATATGTATATATATATTTAGAGTCGATCTAACCATGTCCGTCTGTTCGTCCGTCCGTTTTTACGCTAACTAGTCCCTCAGTTTTAAAGCTATCTGCTGAAACTTTCCCAAAAGTTCTCTATTGCTAATAGTATATAAGTCGAAACGAGACGGATCGGGCGACTTTATCATATAGCTCTCATAAGAACAATCGGATAAAGAATAAAGAATAAGAATCGGATAAAAGGTCACCCACAATTGGACTTACAGAGTCCATAACTTTTCCAAACTTAACACGATTTCAATTGATCGTTACCAATCATAACTTCAACATCTTTAGCCTGACTTGGTTTAAAGTAAAATTTAATTTCGCCAAGTGACTCGTTGAGTTAGAGAAACAATAAATATTTTTTTGAAATGTCGGACTTTATTTTTCATGGAAAAGCATTGCATGTTTTTAGGTATTATGATTAAAAACGTCTAAAGCGGCGCTCACGGACAACGCGTCTAACCCCACGACCGTCATTGGAACCGCGTTCTCTGAAGCGCCTGCCTCCCCTTTCGCCTCGTCGTCCCCCCCTTTCGATAATGATGACCTCCCCCCCGCCGCGCTCCCTTCGGCGCCACCGTCGTCTCTTCTCTTTTTTTTTTGTGGCTGCTGTTGTGGCTGCTGTTGTGGTTGTGGTTGTAGGGGCGACCGTGGTGGTGGTAGTGGTAGCCGTGGTATCGGAGGAAGCGGCTGGTGGGGTGGAAGAAGCAGCCGGCGGAGTGGAAGAAGCAGCCGGCGGGGTGGAAGAAGCAGCCGGGGGGTCGGCAGCAGCCGGCGGGTCGGCGGCAGCCGCCTGCGTTGACTGAACAACGAAAGTGGCCAGGACGACCAGGGATAGCGCAATGATGAGACGCATGGTGACTTCTCTTTCAGCTGGGCTTGAGATTCTGATTCTACCAACCACTGGATGGACTTATTTATAGTTAAGGCATCTAAAGCATCTGAAGCTACTGCCAGATATCGCTTGTTTGCAGACCAAATATGTAAATATGTTCTGAAAAACTTAGTTATTAAAGCTGCTAATGTTCTTTTATTGTTATATCGCAAGAATATAATACCATTTTGTCTTGGCAGATTTCTTTTGTTCTCAAAAATTATGCGCGGGCATATTTGCCAAGTAACATTCTAACTACACTGTTGTCTTATTAAACAAAAGGAGTTCGAGTCAATATCTGGAAAGTTAAAAAAATACAATTTCTAAAAAGCTCGTTATGTAAACGGAGCGAATAAAGCCCAAAAAATAAAAAAGTCAGCGGGTTGTTGTTCTATGCTTTCATATATGGGGATGGTTTCTAAAATATTACATAATTGATTAATAATAATTTTATTTCTATAAACATCTCGGTTTAATACTGGGAGTATTATTATTTCAGTCAAAAGTTTAAAACGCAGTGAAAATCACATTTTCGACGCGTGGGACTCCGCGCGAAAAAAAAAAAAGCAAACTAGTCCATCAATTTTAATCGTATCTGTCTACTTCATTGTTTTTAGGTATCGAAATAGGTATATAAAATATATAATTCCTGTAACAGCTGCAAGGGTATATAAATTTCGGCGTGACGAAGTTTTTGCTTTCCTGTCTGTTATTTTTCATCCATAATTTGTCCTATTTTACAAAAAAAATGTAATTTTTAAAAATCTAAGTAACATATTTCCACTTTCAGGCCTAATCTACCGCTTCAAATTCTTGATGCTGGCCACCCTTGTATGTGCTGCTCTGACTGTCGCCGGTTTCATCATGGGCCAAATGGCCGAGGGCCAATGGGACTGGAATGACAACGTGGAGATTCAGCTGACCTCCGCCTTTCTGACCGGCGTGTACGGCATGTGGAACATCTACATCTTCGCCCTGCTCATCCTATACGCGCCCAGCCACAAGCAATGGCCTACAATGCACCACAGTGACGAGACCACGCAGTCCAACGAGAATATTGTGGCCTCGGCTGCCAGCGAGGAGATCGAGTTCAGCCACCTGCCATCTGACTCGAATCCCAGCGAGATCTCCTCCCTCACCTCGTTTACCCGGAAGGTGGCATTCGATTAGGCGGGGAGACTGGGAATATCGATTTCTATTAGGTTGTGTGCCAAACTGAGATCACGATTTGGCCTGCAGCCGTAACGCTCCAAGTGTGTGCTCATTTTATTACAATAGTCAGTGGCATTTCTTGCCTAGTTTTGCATTCTGTGCATTCGACAACGCGATCAGCATTATTACTTATCATTAACGTATAGATTGTCTAGTTTCTCTCAGCATGCTCAAAGTGTACGATTTTACTAACTATATTTTTTATGTAAGCCTCGGCAGTATTATCTATTGAAGTCCATTTTGGTAGCTCGTAAGTTTTAACATATTTATCAAAACACATTTTATACACATATACATTTTATTGTGATCCGATTTTATTTGACGAATGAAGTTGGAAGAGTAGATCATTATCTTTGTCTTGCCAACTATGTGTCCAATATCAGAAATGCTTTTAACATAATTTTTAAGGCCAGATTGTCCATAGATTACATAAAACTCAAAAATTTGTTAATTTAATTTACATTGACCACCCTTTAATATCTATCGGACTCTGCCCGGAATTTTTGACTAAAACGTAGAGCAATTTCTTCTTCAAGTAGCAATGCATCAAATAAAAAGCAATATTGAAAATGCCGACCGTTTTTATTTATTAAATGCTAAAAACGTAAATGAATTTTCCGATCTACGTTTTGAATTGATAAGGAATGACTTATTAGGGAACTACCAAATAATCCTTTGAGGAGCGTGGTAATTTTGCCAGTAGAATTCCTTGGTGAAGTACACGTAGAAGGTGGCGACATTGAGGAGCAGATGGGCGCCCAGTTCCAGCCACTCGGCATAGCCCTTGCGAGTGTGCCGCGTGTTCAGCCGGAAAAGGATGTAAGGCACCAAGAAGTAGCGAAGCTCCAAGAGTCGCTGGAAGCACAGCACCAGGAAAAGACTAAGTGGGAACATCAACTTGAAGCTGTCCGGCATGTGACGCAGTCCGCAAAACAGAACGGAAATAGAGAGCAAATATACCGGGACCATGGCGTACTTGAACCACCAGAATCTTCCGTAAAGTCGGCTCCAAATGTAGAAGGTATAGTGTCTGTTGTCGGCCAGCAGATAAGGATGCACCTCGGTGTTCAGGTGAACCACCACCAGTACTAGCAGCGTCGCCAGGAGGAAGAACACTCGATTCCTGCGGATTAGCTCCACTGCCGGTCGAAACTGGCGCATGGAATTGGATATCCCAAACCCAGCCGCAAAGACAGCGAAGTAGAAGAGCTGCGGCACATGCAGACTGGCCTCATGGGCACTCTTGTCGCCCACCACAATGGATCCATTGATGCACAGGAATCCTACAAAGGGCAGAATGATGGAAGCGTAAAAGCAGCACCTGGCCAAAATGCTCAGAATGCAATTGCACAGCAACTGGGGGCTGCTGAAGAGTTGTATCCACAACTGAAATAGAAAATGTAAACTATTTAAGGGTAAACAAGAAAAATTGTATATGAAAGTTAAAGACCAAAACATGCATAAACAATTTTAGTTTGTTATGACTATAAGAAAATTAGTGTTCTAGGAAAAAAGTCAATGAGACCCACCTCTTTGCCTATTAGCCGAATTTTGTCCTTGGGAACGGCTTGTGTGCGGGCGCATTGTTGAACCAGCGTGTCCAGCACGGTCATTCCGGTTGCCATGCAGACCCACACGATGTTAGTCTGACGCATGAGCACACTAGCGGCCCCAAAGACCGCCGCCGGCAGGTGTGCCTCCTGTTGCCAATAGTTTATAAATATAAGAACCATGGTCAATGATAGGGTATCCGTGTAGTACAGATGACTGAAAAAGTAGAGAGGCGGAAGCACAGACATCGTGATAGCCTCATGGGCAGCATACGAGTTGCCCCCTGTGCCGGCCAAGATGCGCCGCCTGATCTTGTAAAGCAGCAGAATGTTGATTCCGGCACCGGCCAAGCTGAGCATCCTCAAGCCCGTCACCGTGCACATGTTGAAAGGATTCAGGATGAGGGCGATCAGGTACAGGCCCGGAAACGTAGTTATCTTTTGATCCCACTGCAAAAGGACGAGAAAATGATCAACTGGTCAGAATGTACTGCTCTCCTCCGTTTACCACATCGAATTCCTTGCGGCAAAAGGCCAATCCCTGCGGGATGTGGAACTCCTCGTCGATTACGTAGTCCGAGGTGCCATTCACCCGCAGAAACAGTGGCAGCGAGTAGAGCACAAAGCCCACGGGCAGGACCAGTTTCCAGGACCCATTCATGGCGGCGGATCCGTTCCTGATCCTCCCACTCGTCCTTCAAAAATAGAGTTCCAATTGTTTGTTTATTTTTGGACCAAACCAGCCGGCAACACGTAGGAATGCACTAACGCCTCGCCCAGCGAGAAATAGCCTTTCGCCCAGCGAGAAATAGCCTTTAAATAACTTTAAAAAATACCAAATCAGTCATTAGGGGCATTCCCACGGTATAACCATCGGTTTACCATTTGGTTACATTTCCAAAAAGAATAACTATCTTGCCAATTTTTCGAAAATTTGGAAATACAAACCAAGATAAAGATACAGATTTTTAGAGAATTTAAACACAATCATTTAGATATATGTAATTATGAAATCGGATGTCTGTAAGAAAAGTTATGGGCTGAGCAGTTTAGGTTTTTGGTCTCTTTTTGGCAAAGCCATTTTTCAAAAATTTGGAAAGCTCAAAAAAATTGCAAAGCCATTTCTCGAAAATTAGGAAAGGGGTTACATTATAAAAATGACGGAAAATCGGCCCAAAAATACAAACAAAGATATAGACACAGGTTTTTAGAGAATTAAGCCACAATCATTTTGATATATGCCATTATGAAATCGGAATTCTGTAAGAAAAGTTATGGGCTGAGCAGATTAAGTTTTTGGTCATTTTTTGGTAAAGCCATTTTCTGAAATTTGCAAAGGGGTTAACATTATAAAAATGACGAAAAATCGGCACAAAAATAAAAACCAAGATGAAGATACAGAATTTTAGAGAATTGAACCACAATCATTTACATATATTTCAAATTGAAACCAAGATTTAAACGCAGATTTGTACAGAATAAATCCACAATCATATGGAGTATGTATGCCACTTTGAAATCGGATTTTTGAAAGAAAAGTTATGGGCTTAAAAGTGCAGTTATTGGGTTAAAAATTTAGTATCGCAGGATCGATGGAGTTTACTTTAATAACTTAATCTAATTATAATCAGATCTCTGATTAACACACGGACCATTCAATTTTTTTCATTTAATTTTGCGAATGTAATAAAAACTAAAATACAAGTAAAATAACAAAGGTGTTAAAAAATATATGCTTAAGAGTCGCCTAGCCAAATCTTTTGGGTCTGAAGGTTCGAGTTCGGGAATCTGCTTCAATCCTTATCCGCACCTCCGCGTTTGTGGTGGATCTTACGGACCGTTCTTGGCCTCTTGATCTTGCGCTCGTAGTGGATGACGGTGGCCTTCTTTTTGGTGGATGCCGTGGTGGTGGCTGCAGTGGTGCTGGTGGTGGTGGCTGACGCTGCAGACGACGTTGTTGTAGCCGTGGTCGGATCAGCGGGGGTAGCAGGATCAGCGGGAGTAGCGGCAGGAGTGGGTGTAGCGGCAGCGGGGGGCGTAGCGGAAGCGGGGGGCGTTGCGGAAGCAGGGGGCGTGGCGGGACCGGTGCCAGCACCCAAGGAAGTCGCAACGAGGGCCACCAAGCCAAGGAACAGAGCTATTTGGGATCGCATCTTGGTTTATATCTTCAGATACTGTGACTGATGTGCCTCTTCTGGCTGAAGCCAGTGTATTTATAGGCAAATCGGTGGAACATGTTTTTAGAATTGTTTGTTTAAGCGATTCAGCATATGCCATCAAAAATTATTTAGAACTAGGTTGTTCATACAGAGATGGTCGCCAGCTTATCATAGGCCTATAGTCTCACTCAAAATAAATATTTAAACAACGACAAATTAGCAGTTTGTGTCTTTTAGAAGGTCCAAATTGGAAGCTTGTAGTTGTAGAAACAAACATAAACAAACGTACATAAATTAAATGTCCTTCCAGAATCCGCGTAGTCCTATAATGTTTATAAGATATGGTCAAGACCATATTATTTTAAAACCTACTATTCCATTGAGAGCCAGTTCGAATAGTGTTTCACTATGTAGATATATGTACGAAAAATAAATATAAAGTAATGACCACCGACGATCTTTTTATTCGCGTCGATGGTTTTATTTTTTGTCCAGTTGCACAATGTGAAAAGAGTATTTAAAAAGAATAGTTCAAAATGGAAGCTTTCTTTCTGGTTTTCATTTTTTTCATATTTTAACGACCAGCGAAAGGCTGGATTCAAAAAGGACATTTCTGGACATTATTATTTGTCTACAGTCATAAGTTTATTTCCAAAAGCTTATAGCTTGCACCAATTAAAAGTCACATATTTCATATTTCTCTTTATTTAAATATTTATTTTGGTTGAGTATATATAGGCCTATGAAAAGCTAGCTGTACTAACAACCTAGTTCTAAATAATTCTCGATGGCATATGGTGAATCGCGACTATGCACACACCAATATTTTGTTTGCTTAAACAAACAATTGTAAAACATCTTCTACCGATTCGCCTATAAATACTCTGGCTTCAGCCAGAAGAGACACATCAGTCACGGTATCTGAAGATATAAACCAAGATGCGATCCCAAATAGCTCTGTTCCTTGGCTTGGTGGCCCTCGTTGCGACTTCCTTGGGAGCTGGCACCGGTCCCGCCACGGCACCTGCTGCCGCCACGCCCCCTGCTTCCGCTACGCCCCCGCTGCCGCTACGCCCACTCCTGCCGCTACTCCCGCTGATCCTGCTACCCCCGCTGATCCGACCACGGCTACAACAACGTCGTCTGCAGCGTCAGCCACCACCACCAGCACCACTGCAGCCACCACCACGGCATCCACCAAAAAGAAGGCCACCGTCATCCACTACGAGCGCAAGACCAAGAGGCCAAAGAAGGTCCGTAAGATCCACCACAAACGCGGAGGTGCGGATAAGGACTCCAAGCACAAAAGAGAATCCCGCCGGAATTAAAGCAGATGCCCTCAGACACAAAGGATTTGGCTAAACGACTCTTAAGCATAAATTTACCCCTTTTGTTATTTTACTTTTACTTTAATTTGTATTACATTCACAATATAGTTTTTATACCCTTGCTGCTGTTACAAAAATTAAATATTCTATATTTCGATTTCGATGCTTAAAAACAATGAAGCCGACATATCCGGACTTAAATCGGATGTCTGTAAGAAAAGTTATGGGCTTAGAAGTGGAGGTTTTTGGTCACTTTTCAGCAAAAGACATTTTTCGAAAATTTGGAAAGGGGTAACATCATTAAAATGACGGAAAATCGACCCGAAAATACAAAAAAAAACTGGAAAAGCAGATCTTTAGAACATTTAACCACAATCATTTTGAGGTATGCCACTTTGAAATCGGATGTCTGTAAGAAAAGTTATGGGCTGAGCAGTGAAGGTTTTTGGTCACTTTTCCAACGATGATCTCTCCGCCGATAGTTGAATATCCCATTAAGATTCCATTACAATTGTGAACTTTATAAGGTTTATTAATCATTATGGTATTTGAATATACATTTCGAACTTTAACATAGAGTACATACAAACAGAATGTTTAACAAACAGTACGACTTAATGACTACCAAATTATCCAGGCCCATAAGCAACTGGAGGGTCTAACTGATAATGCCTTTAATTGTATATGCGCTATATAAAACGTGTGATTTGTATAGATTGCGTTGTTGTTGTTTTGTGTTTGGTGTGTGGATTAGTGATTAAGAGTGGTGGTGTGGCTGGAGCTTTCGGTTCGTCCAGTAAACCCATTGGTCACAGGGAAAACTCCACCTTCCGCTGTCGTTGCTACTTGTTCACACTCCGATAGATCATCGGGGCCGATCGGTCGTTCGTCTTGGTGTGCCGCAACTTGACCGTGGCGAACTGACAGGCTCTGCAAAAGATCAAGGACTTGTCCAGTTGAGGAAGGCGATCCTCCACAGACGATGGGACCTCTACTTACGGCTGGCAAAATACAACCTAATGCGGGGGATGGTGGGGCTAGCTGGGATACACGGACTCGCTACTGGTCAGTAACCTATGGAATAGTTGCGGTATATACCGCGCCTGCTAGAAAAGCAATTTACGTTTGCATTATTCCGACTAACAAATTGTGAACTTATGAGGCATATAGCTTAGTCTTAAACGAATTAAAATTTAATGATATGCATGCAGGCACCGAAACTCAAGAAGGAGAATGTTTTATGAAGAGGTCCTTGTTCTATGAAGTTTCCTCTGATTTTGTTCATCGTTGGCAAACACAAAAGTATTTAAATAGCTTTTAAAATTAAAATAAGATATGTACATACAATAGAACAAACAAAACAGAACTTGCCTTAGACTAAAACTAATGAAATTATACAGGGTAAATATTGCTTAAATTCAAACGAGGGACACAAGGCAAACTGGGAAAGGGTTGGGATGACCGGGATCACTGTAGACACGTCCATTCCCCAGCTGCCCCTCCTCCACTCACTCTCTGCCCATTTTCTTAACCGGTAAGAAGACGGCGAAACTCTCGTCCTCGATCCTTAACCCTTTCCCCCTTACTTCAGCTTGGCACTCGCCGACTTCTGGCCATGCTGCTCCTGATCCCAGAAGTCGTACCATGGCCCGTAGCTCTTGTTTCCGGCCAGACTCTTGGAGTTCCGCTCCAGAGTGGCACTGCTGCTGCTGATATTATTGCTGGCGGATGCGGAGGACTTGAGGAGGCGTGTGCGCGGCAGGATGGTGGCCGTTGGAGCACCCGAACTCGCAGTGGAGTTGCGGGTGAGAGTGCTGTCCTGCTCCTTGGAGGAGCCCTTCTTCAGCGTGTTGGTCGCCGTGGTGGATGTGGAGGAGCGGAAGGTGTGGAACTCCATCTGCTGGTGCTGCTGCTGCTGATGATGCCGTCGTAACTTGTCGTCCTTTCGCACCAGGTGATCGTTGATCACGATACAGTCGTAGGGATCGGAGCTGGTGGACTTCAGCTCCGCATCGGACTCCTCCTCGTCCTCGCTGGTATAGTACTGCTTCAGTATGTCCTGGCGCTTCACCGTCTTCATGACCAGTCCATGACCATGGCTGTTGTTCTTGCCCTCGTCAAAGAAGTTGTTCACATCGCTGAGCTTCAGTGTTCCATGCTCATCGCTGTCACCTTCGTCCGTGGATTGGGGAAATTGTTGCTGCTGGGAAGGCTTGGAGCGACTCAAGGTCTGGGATTTGTGCTGTGATCCTGTGCCGGATACCTGTTTGTCCAGCTTGCGATGTTGCTGCTGCTGATCCTGCGACTGACCACCACGTCGCATGGTGCTCATCCTGTCCGCTTCCGTGGGCTCCTCAATGTCAATCTCTATGGTCTTCATGATCTTCATTCGCGATTTGGGAGTGTAGCTGCTCCTCTGCTGCTGCTGCTGCTGCTGTTGTTGCTGTGGCGGCTGCTGTGGACTCACCCCATAGATATTCTCATCCTCATCCCCATAAAGTTCCGTGCTAGTCAGGCTGTCCTTGCGTTCCCGCTTCTCCTGCGAGGAACTCGAGTTATGCGACTTGGTCAGCGTTCCATTGCGATCCTCGTCCGAACGTCGCTCCAAATCATCCCGATCGCGCATCTCCTCCAGATTGGGTGCTGCCACCAGGTCGCGGTGTTGCCACAAGGACATGCCGGCCAGGATATCCTCGCCGCTGCGTCCGCCTCCGAATTTCCAAAACGATTTGGTGCGTTTAAGACCCGCACTGGATGCCTGCAGGATCTCGTCATCGGAGGCAATCAAGTCGTAGCGCATCTTGCCCACTCCTCCGCTCTGCCGGCTCAACCGATGGAGACTCTTGTCGTCGATCTGGCTGTCAACGCTGTTCCGGAAATTGCGGTTCAGCGTCCACGAGGCCACATCCCTGGGCACCGTGTGGGTGTGCGAATTGGTGTCCGCCCGACGTCTACTTTGTGGACACGCATTGAATATTTCGTGGTGGGATTGGAGGTTTTGGTGTGGTTTCAGAGTGTTCGTGGTGGTGTGTGTGTGTTTTTGGGTGCATTTTTGGGTGGTTAACACAGAGGATGACAACAGGGCATAATGGCGATACATGAAATCAAACAAGAACGAAATAGAAGCAAATGAAAATAAATAAATTCAATCAAATTAGCAACTTCAAATCAGGCAGCAAATGGAATAAATAAAGTGGCAAAGACTTAAGTTATATGGGCAATGCTAATTAGGATTAGTGACACAGGAAAATAAAAAGCGGGGATGCACTTGCTTGTCTTGGAGAGCAGAAATTAGGTAAATAAACTCCATTTGGTCTGCTACACGATAATCTAACTCGATTTGATACATTCCAAAATTTACATTATTAAAAAAGCAATCCAAAATGTTAAATATAGTCTAAATTATCAAATTTTCTAAAGTGGAATTGGAACAATAACTCTTCGAATCAACATAATTTAAAGCGCTTTATCCTTGTATCTCTCGCTCTATATTTTTTAGATCCAAAGAGTTAAAGTTTCATTTTGAAGTTTGGAATATAAATAACATATCTGAATGTAATTTAAATAAATTGCTTAGTTATTATTATGATTAAATCATAGTAACCCCATTTTAACAGTCAAAAGTAGTTATTGTCTTCAGTTTAGATTTAGCTTTCTTTAAATTGAATTTAAATGGTATGTTTATTAACACATTTTTTTTGCTCTCCAAGGAATTTCTTACAACTACTATTGGTAATACTCTAGTAGACGGCTCTTGACAAACATTTTTATAAAATTAAGATATATATCAGGTGTTTTTTTGGGTTTTAAGTGATGAAACCCATCTTCTAGAGTATTACCCCATATGTCTACTCCACCTACCGAATGGGCACTCGCTGTGTGGCTGGCTCCTCATCGGAATAGTCCACTTCCGGCTGCGGAGGTGGCTCATTGGCGAATCCACTGTCATTGCTGCTGTGCAGCGAGGTCTTGGCAGCCACTCCGGATTTTCCTGAAGGATGGCTCTTGGAGCTCTATAAGATAATATCCTTAAGCGAGGGTTTCCCAATAAAATCGAATAGAAAACCCACCTGCACACCATTCAGTAGCTTTTGCTTGCGTCTCTCCACCGCCGCCGTGACTCCTCCATTGGAGGCACAGAAGCTTTGCGAGCTGTTCAGCATCCTGGTGGACTGGCTCTGCTGGCCATTGGGCACTGGAGCTGGTAGTGTGGGTGGTGGACCCGGACGCGGATTGGCTCCAGAACCAGGACGGTACTTCTTCTGCTGCTTGATGGTGTCCCCAAACATCCGCGTGGGCGAGGACTCCTCGGCACTGTGGTTCCTTCGCCTCCGATACGTTGCCTCATGGCTCTCCATCAGCTCCAGCTGCGCCTCGTAATCCTGCTGCTGCTGTTGCTGATAATTTCGCAGGCCACCTCCACCGGAACCGGATCCCGAACCACCTCCATTCCGCTCGTAGCTCATTAGCATATTCTCGTATCGCCGACCACCGGAAGTGGCTGCCTCCGAGGATTCCGCATTGGTGTAGGCCACCGGGAACCAACCGAAGTGCTGCGTCCGTAGATTCTCACCGAACTGCCAGCCCTTGGCTTTTCCGCCCACCAAGGCGATGCGGTCACCCTCCTCGAAGGACAATTGGTTCTCCCCGGAGGGCATGTAGGCGTAAAGGGCCTTCACCAAGGGACGCTGATCACCGCGCTGATCGTCCACCAAAGGCGACAGCTGCTCCTCAATGATCTTGTGTTTGTTGCCTGTTAATTAAATGTTAAAATTATTTCTGATTCTCAGAGGGAAAAAATTCTAGAAAAAACTCAAATGGAATTTAAATTTCTACAATGTCATTTCTATACATAAAAACCCACCTGAACTTTGACCAGTGCCCACCAAGGCCAGATTGAAGTCGGATTTGGCACGTGGCAGCGAGTTTTGGGCGTAGTGCGACGCTCCAGCAATGCCCATTCCGGAAATATTTTCCCGCTCGTGCAGAGTCCGCATATCACCATATGGGGCATCGATGCTGCGCGACTTCTTCAACTGGGCTCCGTGGCTCTGGAGGTGATCATCGTCTCCGTCCTTAATGCGCTCCTGTTCAAATAAATAGGTTTTAGGTTTAGGTTTTTATTAGGTTTAGATTAGGGTTTTTAATTTTAATTTTTAATTTAAAGATAAAATATATATCAAGAAGGGATAGAAATTTTTGTGTATGTTGGCTTTCTTTTTAAGGCATATTCCCAACAATTCTCCCACATTTTTTTAAGTGCGAACAATAATTTTCTTAACCTATTTTAAACTGACTATTTATATTTGATTACTCAACCACAAATTTAATTTCCTTTAGCCAATTTCGTTCGAGCACACAAACCGCTAGTTAAAATTAATGATAAAGAAAACTATAATATCTTTTTGTTAAAAATAAACTTGAATGAGGGTTACAATTACATTAAGACAAATTTCTGTAATGAGAACTTGGTCTCGATAACCCAAAATTCGTATATTACAAATCATATTGTTTTGTTCAACAGTTTTGTTTTCATTGTACGGAAAATAGAAGAGCTGGGTGGTTAACAGAGTGGTTAGCGCCCAATCGGATGGGATCGGATGGATTTTGATGGGATCGGATGGATATAATGGACGGAGATGACTCACCAGGCGCCGCATGTTGCCGCTGTTGTTGCTGATGTTGTTGTGGCCATTGGTGCTGCTGTAGCCGTTTTCATACGCAGCCGGGGGAATGATCTCACGAGAAGCGGCAATCTCTTGCCAATTTTCGAAATTATTATCAATTACCGTCTTGCCGGTGGTGTGGTAGGCCATCCAGTGCTTGGCGATGGAGCACTGGCGCTCCAAGACGAATCCGTACCGTCGGCGCTCCTGTGTCATGGCCTTTTTGTCCAGAACGGAAGTGGGAAAGAATGGTAGAGTCATACATGGCAATAAATTTCTAATGTTTTTTAGGAATCATTTGAATATTATCTTAGTATTTTAAAAATAACATTTTTATAAAATCATAAGTGAAACGGGTGAATAAAAGATCAATCTTTGAAAGCTTTGTTTTGGTTTGTATTATTTTGTTTAAAAATCATATTTAAAATGACCTTCAAAATGGCACAAAATAAAGAAAATATTACCAAAAAATGAGTCCAAGAAAATTTACTAATCTTTGAGATCATATTTCCTAAATATAAGATGACTTTAATAGTTTTAAAGTAATTTTAGTACTTGGTTGAAAATAAAACTTTTTATATCAGCTTCTTATGCAAAATGTACTTTTGAATCTTAACACTTTTTGTATAAGACTTAAAAGTTTTTATGTTTTTTTCTGTGTAATGTGTGGATTAAGATTCGGCTAGCAGCCAATGAACTTACATTCTTGTAGCTCTGATCGCAGAATACATCAAGCTTTTTCTTCTGGTCCTCGAGCAATTGGAGGCTCTGTGGGAAAGTGATGTTTTTTGGTGGTTCTTCGCATCGTTTGAATATATGTATATCCACTCACCCTCAGCTCCTTCTCGGTATTCTCGGGCGTGGCCTTTTTCTTGCGCTGCTTCTTCATCGTGGATACCGCCTTCTGGTAGCTCTCCATGCGCACCTTGTGCTGCTGCAGGAACTTCTTCTGCTCATGCTGCACCACCTTCGTGTCCTTCTCCAGATTTGTCTCCAATGGCACCAATAGATCCACGTAAAAGGCTTTTAGCTGCAATTTAAAAATTGTAATGATTAGATGATTTTTTACCTCTGGTTTGGTTCTTTAAGTTTTTTCATATTTCAGCATAAATCTTAGTTTTTACTGCTATTGTCATTGATTACTTTAATGATACTTCAGTCTTCACTGAATCAAGTTTTAAAATAATTTTACGTTACATATTCGAATTCCATAAGCGAAGTACCTCACCATCACATTTATTGATTGTCCACAAAGGACAGTATTAAATACTAAGCCACACGTTAATAAAAAAAAAAAAAAATATTCAAATTAAATGTTTTTATTCTTTAAGAAAATTTAGCTTTCAACCTGTAGTATTTTTCTTAAATAAATAATATTATGCTCATTTAAAACAAGATATTAAAAGTTATAGACAGTAAGTTAACTATTATGGAAATAATTGATTTACATTTATTTTCGAAAAAATTGTTTTTTTTAATCGACAAAAGCTTTTCATTTTTAATATAAACTCCTATCAATTTTTTTAAAATTAAAATGAGATATACCAAGAGTTGTAAGTACTTTTAAAAACTATGTATCTAAGCATGGGTCAAATATAAATTGATTACTTTATTATAACCCTCAGGTTACTTACAATATTCATCTGCTGCTCCTGTATCTCCTTGTTGACATTCACAACGCTCATCAAAGCCGAACCTGAATGAATAATGGGAATATAAAAGAGTTAAGTGTGAGTTAATGTCCATCCCCCGCACTGTCACTTTTTTTTGCAGGTTTGATGAGGTTTGAGGTCTCCACTGGGAGTCTTACCAATATCGCCCGTTCCGCTTTGCTGGGCGTTCATCGCAATCTTGGCCAATGCTTCATTGAATAGACGCGAGGCGGTTGCGGCACCTGTTGCATGAAATGGCACGGAATGCATTGCAAATTAGTTAACTGTACCCACTTGCAGCAGTCGATTATGGTATACACTATACGAGTATACGAGGTATATACATACCGTGCAACGCCTTGAGGTAGCTTTTGCCCGCCGCAATCAGTTGCCTTGCACCCGGATTAAATCTGTCGAGTATGTTCTGCAAGCGAGAGGAGATCGATGGCGTCGTTAGTTCGGATATCCATATGCTAGCTTATCGCACGGTTAATTAAATGTAATTTACAGGCCAGCATGCACCAACATTTCAATTTCATTAGTTATAAACATTTCCCATTCCCCCCTTTAAAAGTTGGTAATGGTTTTCCCCGTTTTGCCGCGGGCAGTAAAAGTCGGATTGTATAAGTTAATTTGAGACAATGTTGTGGTCAGGCAGCGACATCGTTAGTTCCGTGTAGCCAACTGAACATACTCGTAATGCTAATTGTTCGTTTAGCAATATCTCATCTATGATTTGTCGGTGAATGTAAATGAAAGTTATCTTATAAATCGGCAAACAAGTGTGGGAAATGTATTTTAAGTACTAGCGGTTCTGGTGTAAAAATAGATAATGTTATTGCAGCAATAAAATGCATTCATATTTACCATCTTATTTACGAATTTTATAGTTACGAAATGTACATTCTGAAACGTGATCCAAATAAACCAGTTCACTTATCATTAGTATCTCCTAATACTACCATAGCATTGTTAAACCTGTTCGGCTAATAAATTTCGCGAAAATAAAGTTTGAATTTACTGGTTGCAGTTTTTACTACCGGTAGTAAAATTTTTACTTAACAACAAATGAGGAAGAGTTCAGTTCACGTTTCAAAGTAGTTTTAAGCTTGATTAATTTTAACTTGATCTAGTTTTTAGTTGATTATAATTTTAAAGATTTGGGAAACAGATTTCAGATTTTGAGTATTGTCTAAATAAGAAATAATTATTTATATAATTTCGCTTCAGCTAGTTTATTCAATTGAACAGTACTTATCTAAGTAACTAACAAAGCACCACCTCACTTTTTGTTTTGAGTTTAGCTCTATAGAATATTTAAATTAAAACAAAATTATCTGTGCTTAAATAATATTATTCACCTCGCAGATCATCAATCATCACTTCACTTTAATCCTCTAAGTGTTGTGGGCCTAACACCTCAAGTGATTTATCATCTTCAGAACTCCTCCATAATCAAATCTATTTAAATACGAATTACACCATCTACATAAATCTATATGTGGAAATGAGTCATTCATCCGATCAATTGATCTTAGATAGGGCCTCGGAAAATGCGAAATGATGAACAGGCAAACGACAATTAATTAACAACTTGGCACATGATTTGCATACAATTCGCGACTGAGCTTTCAGGTGAAGCTGCATTACTGCGGGATGACGTGAATGGATGAATGGATTGCCATGTGGAAGGGAGGCTGACATCACCAGAGTGTTGACATTATAAAACACCATAAAACATGACAAAGACTCACTTTGGTCCTGGGCTTGGCCTAAAGTTGAGTTGGCGAACAGACAATGCCGAGCACTTAACACGCAAACCCAAAAACAAAAACCAAACAAATTGAATTCTCTTTGGTCACAAAGCGTTTGCATTGTTCCAAAGCCACACTTTTTAAATGTTCGTTAGGAACTATCCAATACTTGCGGGTTAAGTATAATTGATTGTTGTTCTTGATATAGCCAAGAAATACTTTGACACCCAATCACTTCCGTCCATGAGTCGATCAAAAGCTTGGCACTCACGTCTGACTACCGAATTCCAATGGCCAGTAAGTAATTAGCAACAAAATGTCAAAAACCCATATGTAAACAAGGCATTCTGTGCGGAACAGTTCGCTTCGCTTGTGACTTGGGTTATTGTCAAATATTTACGCCTCGACATATTTGCTTTTCTAAATTTATTGGCCGCAATGTGGCTGCAAGGCGTGGGAATGAAACGAGCCAGCACTCGAGATCAGATACTTAGATACTCAGATACTTAGATACTCATAACCAAGGTCGTCTCCGTTTAACGATTCAACTTGCTCGAGTGTTTGTTTTTATGATCTACTAGCTGGCTGATTTAGTTCGAAACTTCACTCACAGATACAGATACAGATACAGATACTACTGCGAGTAAATCTGCATTTCGGTGTATCTTCTAATGTTTATTTTACTCAAGAGCACTTGACTTTGCTGACCTCAGTGAAGTTTATTTCATTTTGATATAGATACCCTAATAGCACGTACAGATACCCAAACGCAGGTAACTTTATGGATCCAAGTGCGTTTTCGAAGACCTTTGGGGCTCAACGTTTATGGGTTTATCAATGTTAATTGCTTCGTTTTTCTGCTCTCTGCGGTAAACACTTTTTGTGGTTAATGCAATCAAACTTTTGGGATTGATCTATGAGTATTTACTTGGGATTTACCCTACGATTCGTATAATGATTATACCCTTGACTGTAATTATGACAACAGATTATAAAATCAATGAGCAGAGCCAAGTATACATATGTTTATAAAAAGGTTTGTAGGAAAAAGACATTTTTTATATTTAGAGGATTCATGTTTTTCAAGCCTTAAACATCTTTAATAAATTACATTAGTATTACTAGCATTCACATTTTTTAAAGAAAGAGCTGGTAAAAAGAGTATTTAATTATTCCTTTAAATTCCCTTTTTTTATCTAAGTCCAATTCATTAAGATTATATCTTATTTGCTTTGAAACTTGTACTGCTCGCAATTAAATAACCAAAGTACGAATCAGGTTTCCTTTAAATGCGATGGCTATCAGCTCGTGTAATTGACCTAACGGCTCAACAAATTCCAGCTCGTTCGATCCAGCAATTAACATTTCTCCTTGTTCACCCACTCTTGTATTAAAGCTGACGTAATCGCCTATCACGCCCGCGAATCTGCAACCCACCGACAACACTTAACCCAAAATTAATTGAGGTAGTCTTGGCCAGAGTACAGTGCCCAGATCCCAATCCCCATTTAAAAACCCAGGCCCAAACCCAACCGACTTGGTCTCTAATCGTCGCTTAACATAAATCGCCACCAGTGAGCGCCACACATATGTAATTCATTTTAATTAAAACAGAGACTAAATGCAAAGCGTAGCACGAAAGCCCCCCTTTGCTTAAAACAGCCAACGAGGCGGAATGTTGGGCGGTACACTAAGAAAAACGTTTCTATTATTTATTTGGTATTATTAATTTGCCAAACCAAGTCAGGCCAGATTCAAATTTTCGTCTTAATTGTAAGCTAAAAGTAGGTATTAAGGGATAATGTAAAGCCGACTTTCAGTTTACCATATGACAAAACATATAGTGTTTTAAGAAGATAGTTTATAATTGTTTAATTCTTAGTAGCAGAAAATGGCTTAACTACAAAATATAAATTGATTGATATAAAAGTCATTTTGATTAATTTTTATTTTCTTTGCTCTTCATAGGAGGTTCAACTGATTGAATAATAAACTTTTATAGGATTATCATGGGTTTATTAAAAATTATAATATTATAAAATAATATGGTAATATATAAAATATTATAAAATACAGGGGTTTTTTAAAAGACTTTAGAGACGATCGAATATTACATTGTTCTGCTGTTTAAATGGTATGTTAATGGTAGTATTTAGCTATATTTCTTTCCGGTGTCATATTGGTAGTGAAGATAAGGAGAGTGGGGGGGGCCTTTGGAGAGCCTCTTTCGGGTTAGGCCATAATTCAGCGACGCCAGTGAGCGACACACCCACTTCAGAGCATGCGAGAATGCAGCACCAAGCGAAACAACAACAACAGTAAACCGCAATTATGCCAATTAGAAACCAACAAATGCAAAAAGCAACACGCAACAGGTTTGCCAGCAACAACAATTCAAAGGCGACGGCAACCCAAGTCAACTGTTGACAAAACCTCAACGAAGGCGTCAAGGCGCAACCAGTCACGCCCTCTTTCAGGTGGGGGAAGGGGGTTTTGGGAGTGGTAACCCCCCGAAGCTTAAGCCCCCCCTGCAAATCCCCTCTCTCCAAAAGATGAACGCAAAGTGCGTGAAAAATGCTAAACGTAAATAATTCTCGCTTGCGTGACTTCTTCCCAGGCAGTTGGAAAAGCAGCTCAAATGAAATTGTAATTTTGTCTAAGCGAAGAGTAGATGTCCTTGGCGATAGGGAAATATATATATGGAGATAGGACATGCCAGGACTTTAAGGACGAAAAATATAAGTGGACTCTGCTGTTTCCACTAGTGGTTTAAGTTAAAGATACAGCATGTTGTCATAGGTTGGTTTAAAAATTACAGATTTTTATGAAAATTTATCGGTGTTAAGTTAATCTATTTTTAATTTAATAATTCTAAGAAACAGTAGTAAAATAAATTTGAGTACTAAAATGTATTGCTTTTAAAAAGTTTTAAAAAGTAACTAGAAACATTTTAAGCATTTTTCCAAAAAAATATAACACATTAAATCTCAATATAATACAATTTACGTTATTATACAATATGATTATTATCGCAACACGGAAGACCAATTAAAATAGATTTACGAATTTATGGGTCAAGAAGAATAATGTGGGTTAAAATATTTTTTAAGGATTAAACTCTAAAAAATGGTAGTGTTTAATTAAAAATTAACCATTCTTAGCAAAAAAAATATTTAAATTGAGTAAAATTAAGGTATCAACCTATACTGTTTAAATCAATTGAATTTAGGCGTTTAAAAAACCCACACACAATCCCATCGGTTAGGGTACATGGGAAATGGACCCAGTGGGATTGGTAGGGCTTCTCGCCGGCGAGTCGTACGTTAACCCAGTTCCATTTGCCATGGTCATACCCATGCCCATGCCCAAGCTGTCCCCCAGATCCCTCCCTCGATCCAGACGATGTGACATCGTTCCGAGTGGCGGCGGCCCCTCTAATGCAGCAGCCTTAGAAATGCCTTTTAAGCATGGCAATCAGCTGCAGTCCACAGTTGCCAGTTCCCAGTTTTCAGTTTGCAGTTCCAAGTTCCCAGTTTATAGTCCATGTTTCGAAGTACACACTTGTCGCCTCTTTTCACAGCTCCAATCCGATCCCCCGGACCGTCTGTGGGCATTAGGTGGCTGCAATTTTAATTTATTTCTGCATTTCTTGCTGGAGCTTCAGCACATCGGACACCTTCGTCCCACTATGCAATATGTGCACCATGCTGAGGCCCAACTCTTGAGGGGCTTCACCTCCTGCTCCCCCAGCAGGTTGGCTTTTGTGTGGTCAGCTGGATGTCATTCTGATCCGATCACCGGCGGCAGGCTCTCACAGTGGCTTCGGTTTCGATTTATGTTGCGGGGAATGTGCCATAAATCTAAGCGAATGACAAACAATCCGAAGGCATTCATCGCCACCGCCAGTTTTCTGCTGGCAGCTGTTTGAAATGCGTTTTTAACATCGACTTGACGGCCCAACTTGCGGTTTTATTCGATCGGTTAAAAAAATAACATGTGGATTCACGTGAGAGGAGAACGGGTTGTTGATTGGAGAACATTTGAGGGGTGAAGTTAGTGGGCAATAAAGCAAAAACAATAAAATTACCTTGTTGACTCATAAAGAAAACAAATTATGTACGCAGAAAAATATATGCTTATTTTAAATTCAATAAATTTAAAGATAATAATCAGGAGTTTTTAAAAAACTATCCGCTTTTAGATAAACATATTCATATATTAAAAGGGAAAGTGAAAGCGGCTATTGCAATCATCTGTTGAGTACATCTCTCAACCAACTTTACTCGTTTGCCATTCAAGATTTATGGTTGAACGGAGTACAAGATTTATTACGGGTGCGAGCACAAAAAATTTCAGCAAGTTTCATAAATTACAACGAAGCTGGTGAATTATATAAGCATTTAAGTACATAAGAGATCTAAATTAATCATTTTTAACATAAAACTGCATCGAAAATAACAATAAATTATTAAGACAGCGGAAACGTATAAATTAGTGTTTTTGGGAAAACAAATGAATGTACAATAAGTATTTTTTAAAGGACTTAAATCTTAATTTTGTTGTGAGAAATTAAATAATCAAGAGATTTATGGAGAATAATTTTAAAAAAGTCATTGAAAAATAAGCAAAGATCAATCAATTAGCTAATGGGCAGTAAAATTCAACATTCCTGGTCCATTTGCGGTTATGCAAATGCAGAAACCCTCCTTAAACCGTTAAGTGTGTCAATTTTAGAAAGGCCAAAACGCGAGTCTAAATAAAGATAAGCAAAAGCGGTCTGCTAATGAGTTTAGAATAGTCAGCCGAAAAACGAATGCTATCGAATTAATTAAAACCCGTTCCAGAACTTGCACAGACCAACCCAGAAGTGAGTTCACACAGTGCCAGACGGAAAGACATGGCGATCTATTAAGCCAAACAAGGCAACAAAAAAAATGCAGTTAAAGAGCAAAAATGTGAAAATAAAATGTTGATATAATAAATCGATTGATAGACCAGTTCAGCCAGAGCAGTCAAGACAATTGCGCATAAATCACTGGGAATTAACTCATAATCTGGTATGTGTTGAGGAAGTGACTTCAGTTGATTGATGCACGGCGATTGAGATTCCAATTCCGATTTTTTCCTGCCATTGGCAGAGCGAGTTCGTTTCCTGAGTCTTTCGTTTGCACTCGGGTTTGTCAAGTGGGCCCCAACCCACTAATTAAAACAGCCAGCAGCACCTATTTATTCGATTTACATTACACGGCTGCGACGCTGTCACAAATGTATACCATAATAGTGCGAGAAAAAAAAATAAAAACATAAATAAAAACACAAGCGGGAAAAATGCAAATGGTGGTCGCGAAAATGCAGCCATGTGCAACAAGCCAAGGAAGCGGCCCAAAAACAAAATTTCCGCAATTTCAAGCGGCAGAAACCGCAGAAAACAGCAACGGCAAGTTTTCAAAGGAAAACAAAAAAAAAACTAAAAGTTACATAATGAAATAGATGCGCGAAATGTGCAATACGCCTCAAGTTGGGGCAGATGCAACCGCTGCAAAATGTAAAAAAGAGAAGCCGAAACTTGCCAAACTCTCGAGGCGGAGTCGTCGCGTCTGTCGTCGACTTGTGGTGATTTCGGGAGATTCGCAAACAAACAAATCAAACCTCCAATTGAACTCGTTTGCTAGCTTGGCTATACGGGCTTATAGCAGACGAATGTATATATGGCCAGAAATGTATGCCAAAAGAAACAACACAGCCTCCGTATGTCGTGACCAAATTTGGCTACGAATTTACAGCAGCAGCCCAACCGACAAGACAAAATTCACTTTCAAATGTTTTTTTTTGCCATTTTTATCGCCAAATATTTGTGGTTCTCCATTTATGATTTAAACACCCTTTTTAAGTGGTAGTTGAATTATAACCTCAAGTTGGTAACGATGACTTGGCATTATGTTTTACTAACTGCGCATAATAAAACATTCAAAAGCCAAAGCATAAAAACAAAAACACTCATTTTTTTACATTTTACGAACTCTAATATTAAATTAAAGGTTTATTCGAATTGGATTTTTTTATTAGGTCTATCACCATGTTTAATTTTCATTTAATTTTATTTTTATTTTCTTTGGATCCTACATAAACATTCATTTTATTACGGCCTTGTACATTTACACTTCAAGTCCTGGGTTCACTTTCAATTTATTTGCCTTAAATGAAACTGAGTCTATTAACTTTTACATTTTAATAATATACCTGTCAAACGGTCTCGTAAATATATAAAATGCATTAAAATTTTAATTTTGCTTTAATCTTTCTTTACACTTGTGAAATTTCAAGGGTATCCAAGAAAACTTTCAAGTCACGGTTTTTTGTTTTCATTTTGTAGATTAATTTTGGTTTCTTTCATTTGTAGCCATTTATGGAGATCGCGTGTGGCGATAAATTTAGTTTACAAAAAGAAAACGTTTAAAGTTATAAATTGTTTTCCAAAAGGCTAAACATCGTTATGAGTCTAACAGTGAATTAGTCGTAAGTGGCTAATAGAAATGGCCTTCATGCAATAGCTACGTTAGTATTTAGGTGTCAGTGGGATTGCATCATTTTCGATTCGACCCCCAGCTAAGTGGAGTAATTGGGGTACAAATTACAAATTTCTTTTACAACTTTTGAGTTTTTATTATCAGTGATATTTTGATGATGCTAAAAAATACTAAAACCTACAGAACTTTAAATTTGTGCAAGGCAAAATGTTGTTCAAAACGGTTTAACCTTATTTAGAAGACCAAGTTATTTATTTTTTAATTTTGATAATTTAGATTTTAGCATTTTAGTATTTTTTCTACGTAATTTATTCATGAAATTACACAGAAAACTGCAATATTTATTTCAAACATATAAATGACACCCCTGAATGCGTATAAATATTCTCTGTCACCCATTTTTCTTGGCAATTACCAACTCATACTCATAGAGTGGTTTAATTAATAAAACAAATACCATATGTTGTAATAATGAAAAAAAACGTACCCTGTACACGCCATCGACGAGTTTTGTAACTTCCTCGGCCTCCATTGTGGCTGGACTTATTTGCCGGGCCCTCCTGTCGATGGATGTGAAGTGGATTCAAGTAGCCGAAAACCGCGGGCTACTGATCGATAATGATGAATTGGGCGCCCGAAAGCCGAAAGCCGAAACACGAAAATCACTTGCAGCCCAAACAAAATTCACTTTCAACTGCAGCGCCCAAAAAATCAGACAAAAGTTGCGGCGCACTGCACTCGATTTTCACTTTCTAAAGTGGCACACACGGGGAGACACCGAAAAATTGACTGGAGGAGACCCGAAAGTGGCAAGAGACGTTGAACCGCGGCCGAAAGACTCGAATTTGGAGTAAACTTGTAACTTTGACTTTCGTTGCAGAATCTTGGAAATCTCGTTTCTGTCGTGACTTTCTTTTTGGCCGGCAGACGAAACTCAAACACCAACCGCACCACGTAACGCGATCCAGGCAAATGAAATGCCAACCGAGCCAAGAGCTTTGCTTTTCAGCTGGTTTGTTTCTATTTCTCGACGGGTTTTCTGGGGTCTTCGGGTCGTGTTTGTTGTTTGTTATTTGCTATTTGCCCAGCGACTTATCAACAACTTGTGGCTTCGGCACGTGATAGAGTTGTTCGTGGATCTGGAAAGAGAGAATCGGAAGTTTGGTCACTCAGCTGGCATAGAAAACGCATTAAATTCGAAGAGCAAAAATGCTTGGCAACCGGCAATATTTAATCGATACTCGCTAAGGATTTTTCACAGCCAAAGAGGTTAGACTTTGACGGGAAATATAGATAAATATAAAATTTAAGCCAGTTCTTAACTGATTTTTATAGAGTGGTAAGTAAATTTCATAAATAACCTCATTATTTGTTGGTTGTAATAGTTTTGCAAGCTTTATAATCTGGTTATCGTTTAAATTTGAAAAATTTATGTTGTGAAAGAAAAATAAGTAAAATAAAATATAAACTAACAATAATTTTAATTATTAAAGCAAAAATATATATTAATGGATTTATTATCAATCATAACAAAAAAGTCCTTTTAAATGTTAAATTGACATAAAATATAGATATCTTGCCCATCGATTTTTCCTAATTTTTTTCACTACAACGTATATGTATCTACAAATAATGTATTTATGAATAAACTTATATTTTTATTTATAACGTTTATTTAAACGCTTAAAACGATTTTTTTTGTAAAAGGTGTAAAACGTGAAAATGAGCAAACTAGACGACTTGCTGTCCAAAAAGAAAACGGTGGTCCCCGTTTTGGACCTGAGTCGCAGCAATATCCAGACGGTGGAGGAGTTCAAACGGCTGCTGGAGAAGGTGCCCGACTACAAGATGCGACCGGTGAAGGTGCGCGCCGAGGAGATAAAGATCCGGGAGAAGGACTACGCCTTCAAGATGCCCAAAAAGGAGATGCGAAAGTTGTTGAGGGCCAATGGAGAGCGGGAGGCGATGTACATCTATGCGGATCCTGTGCCCAGCGAAATGAAGGACGTGGTGCTGATGGAACTGTGTGCCGTGCCCATCGACTGGAAGATGCTGACCACTTTGAGGCCCAAGAACAAACAGGAGGAGGAGTACTTCAGCCGAATGGTTGAGATGGGAAAGTTGGAACTGAAAACAGAGGCCCGCGATCGCAGGGAATTCGCCCTCAACAACTGTGTCAAGAAGATCAAGAATAAATCGGGCATTGTGGAAACTAGACTGATGACCTGCGAATCCTGCGGCGAGGAAATGTGTTGTGGTAATAACAAAATAATATAACTAGATATTAGCAGACCTTACCTAACCAATCTATTTAATTTCAGGCAAGACTTGCGGTGACTTCAACTACGATCTTTACATTCGTGTCGAGGCCAGGGTAATTAAACCCAAACCTGCCGTTTTGTCCTCCAACAAGGCCAAATTAAATGGCCGCAAAAAGTCATCCGTGGGCGGAACCAAGATCAAGGTCAAAAAATCCTCCAACAAAGCATAAACATCAGAATTAGTCATTTACAAATATACCTAGCTTTTGTAACCATATTTATTTGCTACTACATTTTTAACATGACTATTATAATACTTAAATATATTCAACGTTTATGAAACTTATTGTTATATGACACATAAAAACTACTGGAATTTTTTATTTGTAAACTTTTAAAGCCATGTGTAGCATTTAATAAAGTTGCTAATTAATCAATAATAATCATGCCTTTACAAATTCAAGGTGTTAAACGAAAAAAACGCAAATTATATAAAATTCCAAGCCACATAAAACCTACTAAAAAACATTAACAACTTGGTCATTTCTATTGAGCGATTTATTTCCTACCAAAACAACATAGTTGCCATTAAAATATATAAAAAAAATTACTTAAAAGCTTAGGTAAATATGTAAATTTGTATAAATGTTTTTTTTTAACTTCTTCGCTCCTTTTGGTTTTTGTTCACTATAAATACTTATGCTTTTGTCTAAAGAAATCCACTTAACATCAACACTGTTAGCGAACAGCTTCAAAAAATGTTGTAAACTGCCGAAATAATGATCACAACTCAAATGCAAAATAGTAGAAATTTTCGACGTTTTTTCCCGCTCAACAAGCGACACTCTAGAGTTTTTTTTTTGCCGGTCAGTGGCACTAGCAGCATAAAAGCTCAAAATGAAATGGCTAAAATATTTAAATTGCCACAGAGCAACACAGCCGAGTGGCCATTAAGACAAAGCCAACAAGGTAACAGGGGTTCTGTGCTCAGAGGTCTGGAGAGACTTGGCTATCGGTTCCACAAAGTACACTCAGCGAAAAGCATTTATTCCAGCTATATTTTACAAATATTTAGGACGCATTCAATAGCTTATTGCTTTTGGTTTCAGAGTTCTTTAAATTAGAACATTTATTAGAAGATTGTACAAAAAATCAGTAAGTGCATACATACATATAAAGGAAGTTATAACTAATTAGTCATAAGAAAAATATTATCGAAACAATGTTAAGTAAGTTTCCAGAAATACTTTCGTTTAAAATTTCTTTAAGATTTTTTTTGGAAACCGATAAGCAAGAGCCTTAAAAAATATTTATTAAAAAGTAATAAGGTGGGTGTATTACTGAAAGATTTTTTGGTACTGATTGTAATCATTAAATTGCCTTGCAGATTTGCCGCTTATTGAACACTATTTTCCAGTAAAAACAATATCTATTTGATGACAAATTTTTGGATATTTTTCTTCATGTGATGGATGGAGGAAATGGCGCCAGAGGCGACTTCGATGCGTTGGCGACATCGCTCCAGTGGCAAGCAGCCACTTACAGCCCACGAATCGCTTGTGCAACAATTTGTGCAAGTTTCTGCTCTCGGCCAGAATTCAATGGCCGTGTTTTAGAGCCTGTCTCCATTTAATAAAGTTGCTAATTAATCAATAATAATCATGCCTTTACAAATTCAAGGTGTTAAACGAAAAGAACTCAAATTATATAAAATTCCACACCACATAAAACCTATTTATTTCCTACCAAAACAACATAGTCGGCATTAAAATATACAACAAATTTACTTAAGAGCTTAGGTAAATATTTGTATAAATGTTTTTTTTTAACTTCTTCGCTTTTTTTGGTTTTTGTTCGCTACAAATACTTATGCTTTTGTCCAAAGAAATCCACTTAACATCAACACTGATAGCGAACAGCTTCAAAAAATGTTGTAAACTGCCGAAATAATGATCACAACTCAAATGCAAAATAGTAGAAATTTTCGACGTATTTTCCCGCTCAACAAGCGACACTCTAGAGTTTTTTTTTTGCCGGTCAGTGGCACTAGCAGCATAAAGCTCAAAATGAAATGGCTAAAATATTTAAATTGCCACAGAGCAACACAGCCGAGTGGCCATTAAGACAAAGCCAACAAGGTAACAGGGGTTCTGTGCTCGGAGGTCTGGAGAGACTTGGCTATCGGTCCCACAAAGTACACTCAGCGAAAAGCATTTATTCCAGCTATATTTTACAAATATTTAGGACGCATTCAATAGCTTATTGCTTTTGGTTTCAGAGTTCTTTAAATTAGAACATTTATTAGAAGATTGTACAAAAAATCAGTAAGTGCATACATACATATAAAGGAAGTTATAACTAATTAGTCATAAGAAAAATATTATCGAAACAATGTTAAGTAAGTTTCCAGAAATACTTTCGTTTAAAATTTCTTTAAGATTTTTTTTGGAAACCGATAAGCAAGAGCCTTAAAAAATATTTATTAAAAAGTAATAAGGTGGGTGTATTACTGAAAGATTTTTTGGTACTGATTGTAATCATTAAATTGCCTTGCAGATTTGCCGCTTATTGAACACTATTTTCCAGTAAAAACAATATCTATTTGATGACAAATTCTTTGATATTTTTCTTCATGTGATGGATGGACGAAATGGCGCCGGAGGCGACTTCGATGCGTTGGCGACATCGCTCCAGTGGCAAGCAGCCACTTACAGCCCACGAATCGCTTGTGCAACAATTTGTGCAAGTTTCTGCTCTCGGCCAGAATTCAATGGCCGTGTTTTAGAGCCTGTCTCCGATTCTCCACTCCCCCAGGCCCCCCAATCCCCGACTTATTCTCAGTCTGCCGAGCTGCACAGCTTTTGATTACTAATGAGCCCAGTTCGGTTTTGAGCTCTGTCAGCCCCGATCGCAGCTCTGATTTATGCGGTTTATTTATGGAAATATCTATTCGCGTAGAAATTGAAAATTTACTTTGAATATCAAATTTATAGCCTGCCGGCACAGCCGGGGGCCAAAGCGAAGTTTTGCTCTGAATCTTAATTTGATTTTGATTTTCTTGCAACGAAGCCTGCAATTAATTGAAGAATGTGTAGATAAATGGAGTAGGCCTAATCTGATTAGGAATTACAAAATTTGATCTACTTTGTCTGTATAAATCACCTTACTAATCATTCGAAAATATTTGAAAATATTGAACAGGATGTTGACCATATAGCAAGAATAAAACCAATTTTGTGTTAGCTAAAAGTAATTTAGTGTTGTTGCTGAATAACTTTTCTTAGTTCAGAAAACTGTATTAAAAGAATATAGCTTTTTGAACTTAATCAAACAATAATACGAATTTACATCAAATTAACTATAAATTTTTGAAATAAATATTCCATTAGTATTTTCAGTAAGATAAAGTTGTTTTGCAAACAAAATTAAAAGTCTTTTCTCATTATTACTTGGCTTATCTTCTCTTAAATTTCTTTGCATTGTCACGTGGGTTAAGATTACAACTTCCAAAATACAATTACTTCAATTTCGAACTAAATCTCTCTTCCAGATTCATCTTCCCTCAGTGTTTCTATTCATAGCGACACTCATATCTTCAACTCACTTCGTAAATCAACTCCGACTGTTGACTTTTACCAACTTAATTGTGGAATTGAGTGTGACACACCATTCAAGCCGAATTCTGTGATTGTGAGCTACCATTGAACTGCCGTGGAAGAGCCAGCATCAATATGTCAGCACTTCGCCCCGGGTGACTTTCGTATCTGGGGGTCTTTCACCTGGGCAGACGACGTGCCAAGTCGATTACGTAGGCACACGCGTCTTTAAGTCCGATCTGTGTAACCGATCGGAAGATTTCCAACATAAACACGACCGAATGAAAATGAAAACATGGCTCAAATGAAACGCATTTAAATCTTACGAAATGCTTGATGTCGCATCTCTATATTTATGCAGATGCAAGATAAACACATTCCAGATAAGCTGGCAAAGTGAGAGTGCGGTGAAAAAAAAGAAAGAAAGTTAGGCTCTTATTTTCATTAGGCATTCGTCTACGTGATGTCTGGCTGGGCCACGCCCCCCGGCCTTGATTAGAATTCCGAGCTGAACGCCTACGAAAGACTTAGGCAACGAACTTCGCAGCTGCATTCTTTTTATACAAGGCTAGCATCGTCACTGTGGTCAGCTGGGCAACCCGATATCGCAGCACTGTGGCCGACGACTTAATTATGCATCTGCCATGAAAATATATGCAAAAACATCGCTTGTCTATTAAGAACAAGGCCAGAATCGCCAGCCAACTAACTTAGCCCGAGAAATTCGAATAGAACATTGCTCAGCTAAGTCTGTGGTGTATGATTATTGCCTTTTAATTGCTGCCTTTGCTTTGGCTCTTTGTGAAGTCAAACTCAAATTATAGCTTTGGTAAAATACAAATGTTATACGGAATAACAAACTTGTAACAAACGTAAAAACTGATAGGAAAAATTGCTGAGTCTGATAAGCCATTCTATTCCAGAATTAACGCTAGCTTAAATATTTAAAAAAAAATGATACCAAATGGTGGCAACTATATAAAAATAAGATGCTAAACTAAAAGAGTTTTTAGAAATATTATAAAAATAATTCTGGATTTATTTATGTCTTATCTTAAATTCAATACGAACCTGGTCTTGTTAGGAAGTACGTAATAGCCATTTTATGAATTACTTTAAGCCCGTTATAATAATAATAAATATTTATTATAAAAAATTCATGGTAAAGATGACTTCTTACTCATATTAGAGACCACAGATTGATTAATAATATAACTATTAATAATATAACTATTAATAATATAACTATTCAATCTGTTATAATAATAAGTACATATTATAAATAATTCACGATAAAGATTACTTCTCTAAAATAAGTGACTTCTTACTAATCTTTATCATGAATTATTTGTAATAAATACTTATTACAACAGATTCATGTTAAAAATAAATAAAGTGAAAAATAAGTTGTTAATACCCATAGCAGTCAATTAAAAAATATGCAACTTTTTAGGTGAAATCTACGCTTTTGGTAACTTTATTTATTTGTGTAGGCGTGCTCTCAACCCAAGTGCATCCTCCCTTCCTTCAAAAGGCCACAAATCACTTGGCAAACTTTCGCCGAATCGAAGAGTTGATGAGCAGTCAACGACCATTTTCCTGATAGTCAAAATACATGCGAATAATCGGGTAAACAACTTTAAGCAGCATGTCCAACATCAGTTAGGTTAAGCCGGAGAAGAAGATTGGTGCGCGGAGTTGGAGTCGCAGTCGGAGTTGGAGTCACTATTATCAAATGCTCATCATTAACATTTGCTGCCTGCTGTG